TTGGCAGGTGCTAAAGGAGCTTTGCCTTAGTTGTCATCAATTCTCTGCTCATCATCTTTTTTCTGTTTGGCGATGCCCTCAGGACCAGGTGATAACTGTTGAATTAAGAATATCTGCTGTTTTCATACATATTTAAGTCAACTATTTTTGCAGCTTGGAAACATATATTACCATATTTTGTACAGAAATTGTATAAAGGTTCTTGATCCAAATCAAAGCACCTTATGTAACATTCCTATACTTTGGTTGTGCATAAAAACAGCAGCGGAGTGGTTGTAGGTGCGTTGAGAAAATCTTCTAATCATTCATATCTCTTCTCAAGTAATAATAGCATACTACTAGTAAACTAAGAAAAGCAAGAAATATTTAGACAAAGATACAGCTTTCAATATATTGCATGTGTTTTTGGAAGTTTCATTACTTTATGTTTCTATATTTTCTGAATTATGCAAATGCTGACAGTCTTCGTATGTATCTTTGGATTAAGCAGATGCATGCTATCCACCTCATGTTCCTGATGAATAATGACAAATACCAGTTTCAGTGCTGCATATTGCAGCTGGCGACGGACTCAGGATTTATAGTAAGGGGGGCAAATATTGTATAAATTCATTTTAAAAAGTTTTCATCGAAATATAAATTAATATAAAAAATTATAAACAAAATTAACTGTGTACAATTTTTTTTGTATAAAAACTATTTTGCATAGGCAAAATTAACCGAGGTTTCTTGACAAATTTGTGCATAGCGAAAACACTGCTACTTATAATATTACTTGTTTATACACAATATACTAGTAATATAAATCTATATTGCAAGGCTATTTCATGAGTTAATTCGATTAGGTAAAGTCTTCCTTACATCCTAAAGCAATTTAAAGGTTCTCATATAATTGTTATAACTTTTTTAATTGCTCACCAATGATATTTGGAAAAACATTCAAACAAGAAACATAAAATTCCATTCAAAAGACAGATTTTGTTGGCATCACAATTACTAGTCATTGCTATAAGAAAACTAGACTCACCCTAATTAATTAGTTGTTTCAACAATAAGTTAACAAAGAATCACATGGTCTTCATGATTGATTTGCAACTGTGTTATCTGATCTTGAGATAACCGTGAGATGATCTCCTTTATCATTAGAGTTCTGCCTCAGCAAATGTAAGCTTAGCCCAGATAGCGAGAAACAAGAGATCAGGAAGGGAGAGAGAAGAGAATTTCTGATGAAGCTAAGGATCTTGTCAATAAGTTGATGATCAAGGTGAGACATCATAATTCATAAAGGTACATCTGGTGGGTTACAAAAGGACAGTTTGTCATATGTGTTGGACAAGGACATGCAAGTTTTCCTGGTAAAAAGATGCTAACAGAAGTAATCTCCTGCGAGAAAAAGCCACCGGCAATCTTGCCAGCATAATCATTCTCTTTACCTGTATATCCTTCTGTAGCATATATTGGTTGCCAATATATACAGCAACCCTGTTAGCCTGCAGTGATCGAGAGTATCCTTCATCATGGTTTTTACATATTAAATTCAGAATCTGATTGTCAACTTGATGATCACTCACTTATGCCAATAACAAATTCAAAACAAGGTTTGATTGAGCTAGTAAGCCTAGAGGAATCTAAAAATTACTGTCCAATCCTAGAACATGTTAAGCTTATGACTCGACTGAATGAATAAGCTAGAGAGAGCACTAATTGTTGAACAAATTAGTAAGGAGCCGGCCAACAGTGCACCCCCTCTATTATGAAGACTAGCGTGCAGAAGAATAAACATAGGCCTACTTTAAGCAAGGCCAACCCCACCCCCTCCTAGGCCTTAACTAGGAGCCAACTTCAGATGGCAACAGGCACAAACCTTTGAATTTGACAGGGCTTGAGAGCAGCCGTGGGATTGGGGTATCCCTTCCAGTTGCAGGTCATCTGATGACTTTATAAATTTGCATATTATATATTTTAGTCATTATCAGCAGGATAGTTGGTGAATGATATAAAAAAAAAAAGTTCGTAAATGATTCGGATGCAAACTTCATTGGAGAGAGAGTGGAGAAATGTAGGCAGTTAGGTAAAGTAGGTTCTAGACTTTAGATTCTTTTGAAGATTTTTGTCTAGGCCAGTCTCTTTTTGTAGCCTAATTCCATCCAAATCTGTGAGAATAGTTCTCCCTACTCTCTCTCGACCTTTTCCCTTTTCAAGAAGAAAGTACGAACTACGAAGACAAAACGCAATCATTTAAGTTTTACGACATTTTGGTATAGAAATAGTTTTATTACAAGATTCCAAATTTGCTGCATTATTCTTTCATTTTCTTTCTACAAAGTTCTGCATGTGCTTCTCCTTACATCGTCAGAGACTTTCTTTTTCTTTTTCTTTTCTTTGTTTCTATTTCTCTCCATCTTATCAACCGTTGATGATATAGCAACACCTATAAGCCTCAACTCCATCAATGATCATTGATCAAATGTTGTTATGATCAGCAGCTCAAGATTTTCATTGCGAAATAAGCAATTTTTGTTTTTGTTTTTCTCTTTTCTTCTTATTCAGTAAAATTTTTAAAAAATAAAATAAAAGGAAGAGTCATTAATTTTCTTGCCTTTGTCTTCTTCAGAACCTAGATCCACGAGATATGCCAATAAGGTGGTTAGCTGTGACATGGAGAGTTCCAGGGAAACGGCATATAAAAGCGTCCCTTGTCGCTATTTCTCCATTTCCGAGAACTGCTTCAAATCCTTGGAGAGAGATTTCCCAAAGCAACCACATCCGGACAAATTCGCCGACACTTCATTTCCAAAACAAAAGAAGTTCCCTCGCCTTTTCTACCATATCCTCATTACATAAGCCCTCAATAATACTACCATAAATAATGACATTAGGCTTATAACCTAAGTGCAACATTCCGCATTCCCCATTCAACACAGACCATTCATCAAAGTCCCATAATTAACAACACTAGGCCGACAACCAAATAGAACCATTTTCCCAAACAACCTAGTCGATTCGCCAATCTTATCCTCAATACACAAACCTTTAACCTAAGCTGTAAAAGTTACAGTATTTGGTCTATAACCCCACCTAAAAAACGTCCCTAAAACAGCCAAACCATCACTAACTCGACTCAGATGACATAAACAATTAAGCAAAATATTCAAGGTAACAAAATCAGGTGGAAACCCAATTGAATCCAATCTTTTGCAAAGCAAAACCTCATTATTATACTGCTTAATCTAAAAAAGGGCACCTAACAACAGATTAAAGGACGACATTGAAGGAACTGTTTCGTTTGGTTCATTCGATCAAAGAAATCCAATGCTTCGTTGAGACTAATGGCGCCTGTTATGAGAAATTTGTGAACTGGGTCTTGGCTTGCAGCAGTTTCTTTGTTTAGGTTTGAAGATTTGGGATTCTCAGAGAAAGTGGATTTTTTTGGGGGGACCGAAGAGAGAGGAGAGTTTACCTATTAGGGTAGATTTTGAAGAAGAAGATTATAGGTCAGCTCCATTAGCGGCTGAAGCAAAGCGGAACGTCGTTTTGGCAACCATTTTTCCAGTGTTTGGGGGGTTTCTTTGAAGCAGTAGAAAAACCGGTGGATTGCAATTGCCCGACCACTTCGTACCCAAATATACCCTCAAATATAAGTTCTCCATCTTTTAGTTTTATTACATGGAAATAAGAATATAATCTTTTATTTTATTACAAATAAAACTTTAAATTTTTAAAATTTCGTAATTAAGTTTAATTTCATTAAATGGAATTAATTATCATTTATACTGCATAGTTGACATCAAGGATGACTTGGACGGATAAAATGTCATTTGATTAAAAATGCTTATTGTACAGGCATGCCCTCAAACTTTTGTACAAGAAAAATATAACCTCTTGATCTTTTATTACATTTTTATTTTTTCTAATTTTTTTATTTTTTAAAACATCGAAATGTAAAACAATTAAAAATGAAAAATGAAAAAAAAAAAGAAAAGAAAATAGGAAAAGAAATTAAAAAATCTAATTTTCAAGTTTAGGGCTTATATCTAAATTCCAAAATTTTATATTTTTTAATTTCAAAAGTAAAAATTTTAAGAAAAATATTTGTTGATTTTTTTTCTAAAAATAAAATTTTAACATAAAAATAAATTAAAATTTTATTTTTGAAAATTAACAAATATTGTGAATTTTTTAATACAAATATTCTTTTCATTTTATATTTTCCAATTTTAATTTTTAAATTTAAAAAATAAAAAAATTTAAGAAATTTATTAGTTTAATTTTATTTCACAAATAAAATTTTATCATACAAATTTTAATCCATTTCCTGATTTTTTTATTTCAAAATGGTTTTTTTTTATTTTTTCAAAAATAAAAACAAAATTCAAAACAAAATTTTAAAATATAATAAAAGGTCGACAGCTTATATTCATTTTGTACAAATGATTGAGAGCATATTAAATTTTTTCAATCAAAATGACATGTTATCAATCTCAGTCATCTTCCATATAGACCGACAACTATGCAACGCAAATAGCAATTTGTCTCATTTAGTGGATTTAGACTTAATTATATAATTTTGAAAGTTTGAAGTTTTATTCATAATAAAATAAAATAATTATATACTTATTTGTATACAATAGAAGGTAAAGGGTTTATATTCATTTTGTTAAAAAGTTAAGACATATTTGAGTATTAAGCCTAACTCACGCAACTCAAATGTAAGTGGATATAGATAGTGATCTGAGTTTTCTCGGATCCATGGGTATGGGCCTTGAACCGAGACGGTGAAAATTGAATTTAGACAACTAAAGAATAGTAAGGGAAAAAAGGGAAAATATTGGGAATGCGAAATAATTAAAAAAAAAAGTAGTGCCAAACAAAAATATTACTGTCATAACTCATAATAAAGGAAATAATTTTTATATTTATAAGCCATAAGAAAGTTTAAATTAATTACGAAATTAATCATCAAGAAGTTAAAACTGCCAAAAAAAAAAAAAATCGTGGGAGATGTGTTGCAAGCATTTTCGTGTAGCAAGATATGAGCTTATTACATCTGTCACTACTTGATGAAGATCCATGAAACCCTGTGCCTCCTTTAATTTACCAATGCCTCCAAATCGATATAACGATTAACATGCGCAGCTTCAAGGGCAGAAGTAATGGCAAATCTGTTTCTCGTATTGGGGTTATCAAACCAACAAGAAAATTCTAGTTTCTGGAATTCTAAGACATGCAGAGAGGTAAGCTTCAAATGACAAAAACCTTCTCTATATATGTAAATCTTTCATACCATACGTTTCCGTTTTTCTTCAGATCATAACAGCAAACCCACTTTCACACAGATCCTTGTTGCCTCTTCGATTGGCTTGATCATTGCAGCAGCAGTGCGGTATCATCTTCTGAAGCTAAGGGATCAAAAGATCATCCCACGCCTAAGATCAAGGGACAAAGGCCATGGCCGCATTGAAAAGCTCGAACGCTTCCCTCACTACGTAGGTAAATTGTGGGATCTCATCATGTCATATCTCTTCATCCATTAAAATCTTTCTAGTGTTTCTCATTTTGTTTTCATATCTTCCTATATAATTTCAGCTAGGCAGATGGGATTTAAAGATAGAAGAGAATGCCCTTTGCTCTGCAAGTTAGCATCAGAATACATCAGGAAATCCGAAGGTTGCGAAGAGGACATATACACTTTCTTCTCCAATGAGCCAGATGTGGATTCGCTTTTTGTTAAGCTCGTAGAGGAGTTTGAGAGGTGCATTCTTAGTTATTTTGCATTCCATTGGAGTCATGCAGATCTTACGATTAGTCAGGTAATCAATATATAAATGTTAGAATTTTGAAGATTGATGAGGAATGATTCACTCTGATGGGAACATTTAGTGAATGAATTGTTTTCTACCACATTATTTCAGATATTAAGTTCTGACGCTGAACCCAAGAAAAAGCTGAAGCAGATTTTCATGGCAGCAACTAGGTTGGCCATTATTACCTTACTTATTTTTGTTATATTCAATGTTATTGTCAAATCATAATAACTACATTGAAATATTGAAATGAGATAGAATATAGTAATTAATTACAATAGAAGACTTTTAAAAATAAATAAATAAATAAAGTTGCTTTTTCTAATATAGGGAACAGAGATTCGAGAGGGTGACAAAAAATCTTAAGGTGGCTAGAATTTTCACTACATTGGTGGAAGAAATGAAAGCAATGGGGCTCACATCAACAGATGACTCTCAATGTACAGAGGTGATGGCTCCAGTGGCTCACAGTGATAGAAGTCCAGTGCTGCTACTCATGGGAGGTGGGATGGGAGCTGGGAAGAGCACCGTGCTTAAAGACATTCTCAAAGAGTAAGCCCTGCATGCACCCAGCCAGAAACAAAATAAGAGTACGACCAACTGAATAATGTTCTAGTATCTTAATGCATTTCAGCAACTTTTTGGACCTAATTTTTGAGCTGTCACATTCACTTTAATATTTTTTGTCAAACCCAAATCCAAATTATAAAAAAAAAAGTGATATTTTTTATTCCTGACGTATAATTCTTAATCATTTTATTTCTTTTTTTTTCAGATTAATGTGTTGTTAATTTTAAATCAAGGATATTAGTTACTTTGTTAGGTAAATGAGCAAATAATAAATAAAATAATACACAGACGATTACTCTCTTCTTTTGTTCCTGCTCCAAGTAAATATTGCTGTCAAGTAGATGATATTTATAATTTGGTTTGAAATTAGTACTTAAATATGAGCAGTTACAAGAACTAATGTCAAGTGCAATGCATAAAAAAAATATATAAGCACAGACCATTCTGGGCAGGAGCAGCAGGGAATGCAGTTGTGATTGAGGCAGATGCATTCAAAGAATCAGATGTCATCTACAGAGCCCTAAGCTCTAAAGGTCATGCAGATTTGGTCCATACGGCTGAATTAGTAAGAATCACTTTCTCAGCTAAATTACCAACAATCACGTCTTTTAGAAAAAGAAATTCAGAAACTAGTTTCACAATACAATAGCAAGTTAGCAACAAAACTAAGGTTTTCTCCCACTATGTAGGCTGGATAGGTTATATTCATCTTATCTTATATGTTTTACCCCACTATGGAATTTTGTGATCACACATGACTTCAATTCATTTCCCCCAATTTCATTCATCCCACTTGGGTCCTATGAATGACATCTCTATTACACAAGCTGGTTGCACTTTAGCCCAAAAATTTGAGATCAAACATCTTATAAACTAAACTTTATCTGTTTTTAGAAGTAATAGTAGCTTTTCTGTTTTATGCACGTACGTTTTAGTAATTAACTAGACTCAATACTAAAGCATAAAATCCATGAAGCCTGAAGATAAATGGTTGACCTGCATCATAAACAGAAAATATTCTAGACAAATGCATACCTGAATGGCATCTGATACAGGTAACTTTCCAGCCTCCTATAATGCAAAGGGGTCCTCTGTAATTGCTTTGTGAGATACTCTGAGGCCGGAGTTTCTTCCATCAATCTCTAACCAATGACCATCATCACAGTAGCCATATCCAGTAATATTCTATCACTGCCACATGTGGTCCTCCAAGAGTTCCCCTTCCATATCACTTTGCATTAGTAGCTGGTCCATTCCTGAATTTGTATCTCTACATTCTATCTTATATTCACAAAGTCATCATAGACTCCTAGTAATATGACAAACCAAACAAATGCAAAGCAACAAAAATTACTTCATACAGGTATATGAATAATTTGATAACAGTTTGAATGCTTCTTATGGTATCAGCAAACTGGAACTTGGTTTTTATTGAATTCCTGTAATGATTTATCGATACTTATGACCCAATAACAATTATTCCAAACAGGTGCACCAATCATCCACAGATGCAGCATCATCCCTTCTAGTGACAGCACTCAATGAAGGGCGGGATGTGATCATGGATGGAACGCTCTCCTGGATACCATTTGTTGTGCAGACAATAACTATGGCAAGATGTGTCCATCGCCGCCGATATCGTATGGGTGCGGGTTACAGGAAAGGACCTGATGGGACTGTAACTGAGAACTACTGGGAACAAATCGAAGAAGAAGATCAAGTGCAAGAAGGAGGGAAAAAAAGGAAGCCATACAGAATAGAGCTGGTTGGGGTTGTCTGTGAAGCCTATTTAGCGGTTATTAGAGGCATAAGGTATGGCAGACATGGAAAAGCAATTATGTTTTAAGTTTTCAGCTAGCTGGTAAGAAGTCTTTTCGTTTTCCCCTGACATACTGATTTTATCAACGAATTCACTACTTGCAGGAGAGCTATAATGTGTAGAAGAGCTGTAAGGGTGAAGTCTCAATTGAAATCCCACAAGAGATTTGCAAATGCGTTTCCAACATACATCCAACTGGTTGACAACGCTAGGCTATATTGCACCAATGCTTTGGAAGGGCCACCTAAGGTGCGTTCACTACCCTCATTTTCAATCTTAATTTCTCTGATTTACTTGGGCACTTAATCAGGACACATGGATCTGAAAGGAACATCAGAGTTCCCTTAAGAATCTTAACTCCAGAACGTAAGGTCAGAACAACAACAGTGCCTGGTTACGTTACTATGATGGACCCATCTTGAATCACCATATGGGTATAAATTAGGATGTCAATCTGACCCGACGGGAAATCCGATTCCCCGCCTCAATGGGGATTGGTTTGGGTAAATTTTTTCAGGGATGGAAGACAGGGAGCACATCCCCACCCCATACCGATATATATATATATATACACACACATATATTATGTATTTATACATAATAATATGTTTTTATATTTAACAAAATTTATTCAAATGTGAAATGACAAAAGTATCACTTTTACAAAATACTATAATTTGGTAAATTTAATATTGTTTCAAATTCTTTTTAAAAAAATGAAGGGGAGAGAGTATTCCTCGTCTCTGCTAAATCCCTGTAGGGATAGGGATGGGGAAAATTTCGTCTCCGATGGCGTACACGATTAAAAAAGTCGGGTACGGAAAATACACTCCGTCTCATACCTGCCTACCCCGTTGACGGCCCCAGAATAAGTTCATGCAAGTGCTGCTATTTATATATTGTTTGACATTTCAGTACAGGAGGTTAACTGGCTGGTTCTTAATTAGATGAGGAGAATTGGCTTTCTGTTAAAGCCGTGAATCCTGCTCAATGTTTCAAAAACACCATAAGCAAGCTTCACTCTCTGCTAATTTGTTTGGAAAAATCATAGTATACAGAACATCCCTGTCACCGTTTTAAAGTAATAATGTACAAATAGGATTTTTTTTTAAATTTTTTTCTAGGTATGCGAACTTGCATTTTCTTTGCATTTTGAACCCTCACAGGTCTAAGACAACCAAGTTGAGTTAAAACTGAACCTAAATAGAGCAAAATTCCAGCTGAACCCTAGTTTACTCCAATACATTCCCAAAACTAAAATGAGGAGGAGGAAGAAAAAAGCCTTGTCAGTCACATATGGCTGAAGAATCCAGGAATAGACAAATAAAATTAAGCAGGAACTTTTATTGCAAGCTAAATTACCATATGCAATCAGATAAGTAATATTGACTTGAAAATGTTTGTGAAGTTGATAGGATGGAAAGACAGAGACAAGACTTGGCTAGTTGACCCAGATGAGATTGGCTGTTTAAAGAAGGTGGGCATGCTGAATGAAGAAGCAGATTCAATATACCAACTTTACAAGTACCCCAAGCCTGTTTGTGAAGCTGGTTCAATTTGGAAAGACATTGTGCTATCTCCTTCTAGATTAAATATTCAACAGGAGCTGAAGTATTCCATCCAGAAAGTGGAAAGAATGGCACAGCTCTAATGGGGGTTCAAACTTACAACTATTCACCGACAAAACTTACAGGCCGAAGGTGTCTCAAACCTTTTGCTATATTTATGACCAAGAATGCTTACCCAGGTTGTATTCAGATCATGAAGCTTCTATGTAAAATCATCTTTACTAGATAACCTCAATTAAGACTGAGAAGCTGAAAAACAAAATATTTCCATTAACTATGATGGGTATTTCAAATAATCTGCTAGTATCAGTAGGTTTGGGGCTTAATATTGGAACTCAAAAAGGGAATTAAAAAAATTAAAGGAAAAAAGAAGGAGCAATTACAGCTGCTACTTAAGCAAGAAAATTTTCTTACTTCACAATTCAATTAATGCAGACAGAGAATGGTTTCCATTCCCATCAAATTATTAGACATGTATCCACGGAAACAATGCACAACAACAACAAAAGGTAAGAAAACAGAACAAATAGGATAATAAACAAAAGATGCCGGTTCTTCTATGAATATTTTTTAATTATTATTTCAAAGCCGGAATTAACTGGGTGGCACTTCTTATTCAAGCATTCCAGTGTACCAGTTATATACACCTAGCGACGTTAAATAGACAAATAAAATTTTATGCTTTTAAAGTCTAGGAAGTAGCTTCTGCATACAAGACCTATAGTATTTTTTTCATTTTTTTCATTAAGCTTCAATCCATGTGCTAAATGATTGTAGCAACTATTTCTCCTCATAACATGTATAAAATCCATTTCTTTCAGACATAATCTTCACTGTTGGAAACAGGTATTAGAGAACCCTAAAAAGTTCTGAACATCAAACCTTCCTCTCTGATATGAAATGTATAACAGCAATACAACAGAAGAAGCGCATTTATCTCATTGAGAAGTTAAGCTCCTATCTCCAGATAGAGAAAAAGAAATCCACTCCATGTGGCAATTGCTCTGACCTAGATTGACAATTCATTGCTAACAGTTAAATCCACTAAGTTGTTCAGGTTGACCCTCTGACAGCACTCTAAAGAGTATTTAAGGAAAGCATCTAAACCTCTATGAAACTTCCTTTAAAAGTAGATACATTTGTTTGTATATGAATAGTAACAGAATTAATACATATCTATAACTTTCCACCAAATAGAGGCACTCAGAAAAAGCTACAGAAATAGGACAAACATGTGATCCTCCATTCTTCTCTATGGGTATTACTGCTACATTACTTTCAAGCAATTCCCATCCCAAGCTTGTTAATTTAAAAACAATAACCAGAAGGGGATTTCACAACATGTAACAATAGTGAAGATTAACATTGAAGGGAAAGGTAAACAAATATCTAATGTGAAAATTCATCTTACCAGAAACTTTGGCAAAATGAAAGATAGAACTAAAAATGGTGTCAAAAGCAAGAACGTTGAAGAGACTAGAAATGTTTGAGAATTCTTATAGGAAACGCTTGCAGAGCATTCAAAATGCAAATATTAGCGGTAGCAGAACAAGCACCAATCAGAAGCAACATTTGCAGGAACACATTGAACCCTCAAGCAACTTCACGAGTACAATTTTACTACCTAGAATACTATACAACATATCATGTGAAGATAACCTTTGAAAAACCAGGTAACTGTAAATCCAATACCAATGAGTTTCTCACTATCAGAAATCACCATTAACCATCAATCTGCAATATCAGAAGCAAAGCCTTAATGATCCACAAGAATCAACGCAATAGCCAGCCACCATGACTGCTAATATCACAAACAGTTGTTAATTGGATTTTTCCTAATCCTTATAAGAAGATTCTATGCCCTCCTTCTTCCCCTGAATCACGTAACTGTAAATATCAGATGCATTTGCTATAACGATATGACAAACAATGAAACAACTGCTCATTTCCAAATTGATGCTTTTGTAAGTATCAACAAAAACCGGACAACAGCAATAAAGTTGGAAGGATTGGAAGCACTAAGAAAAGTAAAATCTCAGAATATCAACAAGAAAACATAACAAAACCCAATATGGCCAACAGCATATCCAGGAAACCATCAGTATAGGATAGATAACAAAGAAAAAAGAAAAAGAAATCATAATTCCTCTTAGGCAAAGATTTGAGAGGGAAAAAATCTAAAGAATAGTCGTTGAAATTTAGTAAAATCTTCAGAATGCCAATAAATGCATCCATCAAACGGAAAGTTTCTTGTGATCAATATAAAAGTTTTGCCTATGAAAATTGAAATAGACACCTCAACAGCCAAGCAGTGGCAACTGAGGAGAATGTTCCCAGCCAGAGAACAAGCTTTAGCACATAACTCTCAATAGTTCTCTCTCGATTTGCAGACTTCAAAAGTCTGCAGGATCAACTATGAAAATCAAATAATTGACAATATTTAACATCTACTTATATTCATTCCTGAAATTACAAACCATTTTATGGCTTTTCATCAGAGCAACCAACATTTGAAAAGCTTCAATGCTCCCACACTGCAATCACAGAACATCATGATACTTCAGCACATTGTATCATTGTGTAATGCAGACCACTATCGATGAAATTGGACAACATCCTATTATTTTTCTTATTTAAATTTAAATCTTTGTCAATCACTTTCATCAAATATGAATATACATTATCAAGTGTTAATAAAAATATCACCTAGTTTAAAAAAAAAAAAGGATGAAGCTATTTAGGTATCACCCTACCCATAAATATGAAGAAAATAATGGTAATTCAGATTATGATCGTCATATCTAGCTAGGATCACTCTATAATTTTCATGAGAGGTGGCATTATTCATATAAAAGTTAAAAGTACAAGCATTTCACATTTTCAAGAATCCCCATCCCTGCTCTCCACTATTTTTGGCAGAGTAATTCTGCAAAAACCATTGTAACAATGAAACCAAGAGAATTTTTTCCCTTTCTGGGCCAATAACATTCAATTCTATGCAGTACCAGACTTTCAACTGGAAATTAGAAGTATCTGTTACTCTTCACCTCTATTCATTCAATTTATTAACCCTTTCTCTTCTCTTCTACTTGAAGCCTAAAGGAATTCAAAGATACAATTAACTAGTGTTTCACTCCATGAAAAATAATGTTGAAGATCCAAGCAAAACTCAACTCCTAATCTAGAACCAACCAACGTTAACAAGCATTCAAGTCTCAAGTAGTAGTTGACAAAGCAAAATTCAATGCGTAAATTGTCCACCAAATTGGGTAAAGTTTTTAGGTTAGAAACCAACCTCGACATAAATATGGAGTAAGAATTCATCCCAAATAAATGCAGCTGTAAAATTGCTTAAAAAGTAAATACACTCGACAGTCCCAGGCATGAATGAATTTTCCACATAAAAATTTAATGAACTTCAATTCCTCATAAAAATATATATGGAAACGAACCATAACTGTACCTACTCTTGCACCAGAGCATCTGTACCTTCATTTTCTCTGTTTTTGGATCAGTGTTGTTGCAGAGAGGTTGAGCCCTTCAATATTTCTAAGCAACGCTCTTTAAGACGCCACCATTTTCTTTAATGTAACTCACCGCCAAACCCTAATTTTTAATTTTGAAATCAATCGGTGAATAGTGGATAAAAGAAAATGAGTAGAAATGTAAAATGCAGAATAATAAGATAGTCAAACAAATATCAGAGCTCTAATTTCATCTCATGATCCATTCAACTGAAAATTACATCTAAGAACTGCTGTAACAAGCCTTACCGAAACTAGATATTTAATTTCAAAAAATTTAAAAATACTCGAAAGAAAAGGAAAGTTCAGAAACAACAGATTACTGGTTAAGATCCGATTTCATATTTTCATGGGTATACATGGACCCAAATACACCCACTAAACTTCAGTCCAATTTACAAAACTACCCCTACATTGACTAGCTTTTCTTCTCTACTTTTTTTCACTTTTTTCCTCTCTTCGACGCGGCTTTCTTCGCCGGTGACTTTCTCTTCGCCTGTGCTCTTTTAGTCGCTGGAGCCTTCTTCGGGACAGGCTTCGGAACAGCCGCCTTCTTTCCAGGAGACGTCCTCGTTGAAGTCCTAGAAGCCTTAGCCGGCCTTTCATTGGGCTTGGGCTTGGGCTTGGGCTTGGGCTTAGGCTTCGCTACACCTTTAGACTTAGAAGCTAAAGTAGTTTTCGGCTTCACAGTAGCCACCGCCTTCGTCTTTGTTGTAGTAGACTTTGCCTTAGTAGCAGGCTTGGGTTTATTCGCCGCCTTAGTCTTTGTCTTAGAAGCAGTTTTTGTCTTCGCCGGAGCTTTAGCAGCTGTTTTTGTACTCTTCCCTTCCTTAGGCTTTGAAGCAGGTTTAGACTTAGCCTTAGTAGCAGCCGGCTTCTTCTTAGACGGAGCAGAAGCAGTAGTAGCCGGCTTCGAAGACTTAGCCGATGGAAGTTTAAACGAATTTTTAACCTTAACTAATTTCTCAGCCGCCACGAGTTTCTTCAAATGGAAAAGCAAAAGCTTCTTAAAGGTTCCAGGAAGCTGCTTTTGGTTCTCTTCAATGAATTTACTAATAGCGTACTGACTTGAACCTGTCTTCTCTTTCAAGGTAACGATTGCATCTTTGATCATCTGTAACAACCCAATCAGATATTAACACGTAATTAGATCTAAACAAAGAAAATAAAACATTTAACAAATCTTTTGAATTATGAAATACCTCTTCGTAAGGAGGATGAGAAGGAGGAGCTCGTGGTTTCTTAGGGGCTGCTGCTTTCTTGACTTTGGGTTCTTTGGCTTTTTTTGTTCTGCCGGATTTCGAACCGGCTTTGGTCTCGGCTGGCTTGTCTTCCCCCGGTTCAGGTGCGTAGTCAACCGCTACGGTTGGTTCCTCGGTGGCCATTTGCTTAGCGAGGGATACAAAGGACGAATTCGGGAAAAGCTGGGTCAAAGTTAGCGTTAAGGCTTAGAAGAAATTGGGAAATCGAAAATAAGATAGCACGAAACTATATCTTTTCGATTGAATCTGAATGTGTAGGTGCACCGGTACTCTCGTTGTGTGAGGAAGGTGACGGAAATGAAGGGATTTAAATAATTAAGTGTGAGAGAGACTGAATCCATAAGATGAAATTTGATTGGTGTAGACGACTAGCACGCGGATCACATTCTTTCCTAAATTTAAATGTGGACCGTTGGATAAGGCTTTATCTACGGTTGACGATATGAGGGGGTGGAAGGGAATGGATGAGGGGAATGGGGAAGAATTGATGTTTTGGGCGGTTTAGGTGTGCTTTTGGTCTAGATTGAGTTGAGTATAACTTAAGCTATACTTGATGAAATTTTTTGAAGTTTTTCCCATTGGGTAGGTTATTATATAAGCTTTCTAATGAATATTTTTACGTATTTTTTGGGCTATTTGTTTGTGAGAAATTTGATTTTGAAGCTAGATTGGTCAAAACAAGAGTTTACCATGATGTTATTGAGATTTAGGATGATTTCAGGAGAATGCTCAGCATGAATCCCAAATTTTTGCATCTCCATTGATAATAGATTAACAAAGAAATCTAATTCTTCAAGAATCACGTAAATCGGATAAATTTTGAATGAAAAATTATTGCCAGAAATGTTGTTGAAGTTGAACATGTCCTATTGATGTTTGAAATGTTTTACTACTTACAACACATATGGTATCTAATTCATGCCAAATAAAATTGAAAGAAGAAAAATTTTGTTTTATTATGCTCTATGTAAACATTACATATGCTAATCATGAACATAAAATGTGAATCAAACACATTCATTAATCAATTAACATTTTAAAGCATGTTTGTTTAATTTGTGAATGTATAGTCCACTAATGTAATCTAACATCATATTCCACAAGTTCAAACCTTCATTTCACTACATTTATTACCTACCAAATCATCTTATTCCATGTTTATCAACCATATATACATCAAATTGTCAAGCTAAAATGCATGTTAGAATGATCTATTTTGACCTGTTTTGGTATTAATTCTTTGATTACACCATGGCATCATATGCTCATCAAAATGACCTAAAGAAGGATTTATAATGGATCACATCTCTCCCCAATTAGTTAATATATGACTTTTAATCCTTTTATTGGCTCTCTAAAACATGGGATTCAAGTATGCAACAATAGTAATAAGTATGTTAGTAGTTTTAAAGGAAATTTTACATTATTGGTATGAGTAGTTGCTATGTTGATGTTATGATAAGATGCATACACATAGGATATGATTTGTTTTTTTTTTTTTTTCTCACTTCTATGCAATAAAAACACAACAAAACTTGAATTTAAGTCATCCATTGACTTGATCAACTAAGAAGAAATACAATTTGTTGTTGTGTTGTGTATAAGAAAACTTTAATTTATACTTCTTATTGTCATTGCCATGAGAAATGTAACCAAACCAAATGTTATAGTCTTTTGAGCAATAGAACCATCAAGCTATCATCAAATTCTTTGTTATAGTGACTAGAATCTTCAATGTTAAATCTATTTTTAACCTTGGAGAATTGGAAAGAATGGTTTAAGACTAAGAACATGATAACTAAACATCTTCACTGCCTTGTTTGATGTCCTCATTTACATTTTCCATAAATTTTTAAGTGTTTTTTTATTTACACTTACCAGACAATTATACCTACATTGTCTTTTATCTTTATCTGTTGGCTTGGTAGAAATGATAGGAAAAAAAATAAGAATGAAAAAACTTATTAATCCATTGATTAAGTGTCATAAACATTTTTCTACTTTTTAACTTAGTTGTTAGATTAACAATTTTTTCACATTTAATTTTTTGCATTCCTACCAAACAAAACTTTAACACAAACTCGAAATGGAATATATGCATTCAAATATAAATATTACAGACATCTTTAAGTTTAATTAAGTAATTCCTAAATTATTAATATTTAGAATTTGAAATTTAGCTAAGTTAATTCATGTAATTACATTAAAGAAGTGACATCCAACAAATTTGAAATTTAAATTCTAGCACCCACAACCTATTTTCCTATTCTCATATTGCAACCTTGTATGTATTAAAAATAATTAATAACTTTTAAATTTTGAATTCTCCCTTCCGTTTAATCTTTAGACTTTACTTAATAGAAATAACAAGAAAATAAAATTTTTAAAAAATTATTAATATTATACTTAAGTTGCAGAATAAAACTATGATAATGAAATCTAATTATTAAATTAATATTGTTTTCATCCTTACTCTTTCTACCCTTTCTATTAAGCAAAACTTTAGACTTGTTTGCATGTAACAAAATATATAATATGGTGCATATAAGAACTTAGTATTATATAAAATAAAAATGAAGATAAATATGATCAAATTTTCATTAATCTAAAAATAAGGGGTACATTTCTCTTTAAAAAAATAATCCCTTAGTTGTCGATGACTTATGTTAGATTGAACTTTTAGGTTAATTCGCTCTTTTTACAACGATATCCTTGACCAATCAATATGAAGTGTAAGCTATAATAGCTTATTTATATTTTATTAAATGCATCGTCGAACAAGTTTAACAATTATACATCATTGTTAATGCACAACAAATTCTTACCTAATCAACCATGTAGTGTAAACTTGGTAAAAGCTCATAAAAAAAATTTACCTTAATTCGACATTCAAGTATAAAATTACTTTAATTGATATTTAAGCATTTGATTTAAGGCTTAAAATAATTAAAAAACCTTGAATTTTATTATTTTATTTAGATAAATTTTTATATTTTTATTGCACTTAAATAAATTTTTAATTTTTAATTTATATCAAAATAAATTCGTAATCTTTAATTTGTATTCAATTAAAACATTAATTTTTAATTTATACCTGAATAAATTTTTAACATAAATCAATTTTTTATTTGAATTAACTGCTTATTTTGATACAATAAAAAATATAAATAATTTATTTAAATAAAGTGACAAATTCAAATTTTTGTTTAATATTTTAACATTGATTTAATGATACATACATAAAAATTTTCAAATAATTAGGTTTGAATTTTTTTCTCACATAAAAAAATTACCTCAATCGATTAGTTACAAATAATGGTCAATTGAATACATAGTAATACAAGTTGGAATGCAAATAAAAAGAAATTAAAAGCGGCAAAGTTGTTGGTCATTTTAGAATTTACATTTTAGGGTTGATAGTAAAATAGAAAGATAAAAAAAATTTGAAGATGAAAAATATTTTTTTGGGTGCTTGATTAGAAAGATGAAAAAAATTAAAAAATTATGTAATTTTTTTGTCGCATCCAGTGCTTTGTAGGGTTCAGAAATGAAAAAAATAAAAATAAAAATTATATGATTTTATCATTAGAATCTTTTTTAAATTAAGATAAAAAAAATCTAAATATAATGAATAATTTTGTAATATATAATGTTTACTCATATCTCTTTTATTTTCTTTTCTCTTATTCTTCCAATTTCAAATAATTAATATTTGTTAATAAGTTAAAAAAAACATGATAAATTTTTTTATTTTATTATTCCTTACTTTCCTTTCCTATAAAATATATTCATTTTTTTTTCGCTTTCACCTCATCATTACACAATTTTACTGTATCAAGCATACCATTAAGCTTGCTATCTAAAAATAAAATAATTGTTAATTCAATAACTAAATTTCATAATATTTTCTATTTTGTCACTTAATTATTAAATTAATAATTTTTTCATTCTTATTACTTTCATTATTTTCATCAAATAAATCTTAGTTCATGTTCAGGAATCACATAATATATGCATATAAATATTATCAAATTAAAATTTTAATTTGTTTAGATTCAAAACAAAAGAAATTTCATTTTCAAATATTTAATCAATAATGGGTAAGTATGAAATTGAAAATTGTATTTAATTTGCAGAATTAATATCACAAGTTGTCCTTAAATTATAGTGAAAGGCTTAATATATTATTTGAAATTTAAAAAATTTTAATGTGATTATTGAATTTTGAATTTATTAATTAATATAATAATTTGAGAGTTATTTATTCATTATATATCATTTTTTGAAATTAATCATGTTACAAGTAAATATTATATTAATTAATAAATTTATAATTTAAATATCATATTATAAATTTTAAAACTCAAATATCATATTAAACATAAAGACATATTCACGACATTAACCTTAATTTGTATAATGAAACTAGCTAAATTGTTGTTCGGAGCTAAATTTCTTTACAACAATCTATACAATTAATTTTGTAAAGAATTTAGGAAAAGGGGTGTGTCCGTATGGTACCCTTCTCTTCCTTCAAAACTCTACTTTTTTTTTCACATATATGTTTTTGTTTATTTTACTTTTTCACTTTTTTTTGGTTTTCTAATTTTATTTTTTATTAAATGAATTTTGTAAAAAAATAATAAAAAATAAAGATGATAAAATAATTTATATCCGATTAGTTTTGATTTATGTCGATCAAACATAGTTTATTTTAAATAAAGATTGGGTAAAGGTTTTTGTTTTTATTTTTTTTAAATGGGGATGGGTTAAAGACAAATTTAAAGTATTCTATCTCATCTCAAGTGTTCATATGACATTTCTTTTTCCTTTTTTTTTTTAAGCTTTTGATTTTATGAGTTTCTTTTTTTTTTTTTTTTTCACTTTTAGTTTTTTATTAGATAAATTTTATATTAAAAAAATTAATTGAAATAGAGATGATAAATAATACATATTTAATTAGTTTCAACTTACCTTAATCTAATTGATACGCTTTCTTTTAATTATTAAAATTTGGGTTGAGTTTTTTTTTTTTAAATCAAATTTGGGCAAGAGTAAATTTTTTATATTATGTCTGACCCTGATATATAAATATATTTCATTTTTATTTAATTTTATATTTATATATGTATTTTATTAAAAATTATTATTTAATACTTTAATTTAATAAATTTACGTGTCACTTCATTTCAATTTTTTAGTCATTTTCTTAGTTTTTTTTTTAATTATTAGATATATTTTATAAAAAAAATTAATAGATATAAGGAAAATAAAACAACTTATATTCGTTGAGTTTTAACTCCTCATGATCTAAATGATACGATTTTTTAAAAATAAATATTAAGTTTAAGTTTTATCTCTTTAAATAATTTAAGTGAAGTTAGGATCGGATTTGGGATATTTTGGCCTAACCCTCATATTGATATATATAAAAAAAAAAACATATTTTATTATTTATTAAATTTATGTTTAAATATATATTATATTAATAAATATATTGTTTAATATATTAATTTAATAAAAAATTACATTTATATATAATTAAATTATAATTTATATTTGTTAGCATTTTAGGTGAGATGGTGAATCAAAATAAGGTGAATTGGATTTCTTTAAAAATTTTCAAAACAATGATTTTAATATAATTGAATAAAAAATTAATATCAATATCAAAATATGATGCAAATAACAATAAATTGATAATTTTAAACTAAATGCAAAGTAAAGAGATATGATAGAAAAATCAAATATAAGGATTTTTAGATGTTCGATCATTTTTCGCAAGGCACTTACGTCATTTTTTCTTGGTTGTTCACACAAAAACTTTCACTATTCTTGAATTAAAATTACAATTTTATCTTTTTCTTAAGGCTTAGATGGCAACTTAATATTCTCTACTTTATAGGCTAAGTAGCAACCTTTCAATCTCACAAATTCAAGAGGATACTTCACCTCTTGATTACAAAATCACTTGATAGAAATGCAAACTTAAAACTCATTTCAAACACTAAGTGTTTGCCAAGTTTAAGTACAAGGAAATGACAAATAAACAACAAATATAAATTGGATACAATAAATACAAAAGATATAAATTTTTAAGCTTTAAAACTTTTGATTTATTTGAGAGAATAAATATATGACTTGTGGATCTTGTTTTCTTGATTCATAAACTTTTTAGAGTGTTGAAGTGCCCAATTTATAGAAGAATTGAAAAACTAGTTATTGGGGATGGTTTAAAAGAAGAAAAGCCCATTGGAAACTTGAAAAATTAGCCGTTATACATACCTCTGGGTAGACTCGATCGATCAGGTAGGGGACCTGATCGATCCCCTACCCAGGTGATCAATTCCTATATAGGGGGATCGATCTTTTCTACATGTTTTAAACCAAAAAAAAAATTTGTATAAAAAATAAATCGATCCCTTAAATGGAGGATTGATCGGGTCACTTTAAAACCTTACAAATCAATCCCTACAGGGAGAAGATCAATCCGGTCAAGTTGAGTAGTTGTTTATTATTTTATACTTTACTTACTAATTTGATTATATATTGAGTTATACAATTTTAAATAAAAAATTATTTAAAAATATAGAAATTAGACTTAAAGGACTTTCTATCCATATAAAATTCATCACATAATTCATTGTATATGAATTATAGTGAATTTTTAAAACTACTCATTATGCAGTTTTTATATAACTGTAAAATGTCTAATAAAAATTCAAAAATTTTTCTTTAAAAATTTGGATTTTGATTTTGTTTAATCCATTATAAAGTAGACTTAAAGAGCTTTCTAACCATATAAAATTTAAATATTAAAATTTTATGAATTAATACAAAAAAATAAAAGAAGTTTAATGTTGAAAAATTTTGTTATTATAAAATAATTTTTTTAAGTTAATATATTTTTCAAAATAAATATTATCAAAATTGTATTGAGTTCAAAATAAATAAGTTTACTTTAAAAATAACAAGACTTTTATTTGAGCTCAAATAAATAATATTTAAAGATAATTTTGATTTGAAAAATAAGAAAACATAAATAAAGATTTGTTTAAAATTTAAAAATTATATTATTTATTTAGTAAAAAATATAAAACTTAAGAACATGTACTAAATAAATCTTTTTCAAAATCTTGATCAAACTTATTTAACTTAATATTTATCATTTCAAAATAAAAATCAATTTAAAACTAACAATATTAAAAAAATAAATACACTTGCATTTATCTATATATTACCATCCATTAAAACTTATATAAAATTTTACGTTTCTCATATTTAAAATATAATTTAAAAAACTAAAAAAATAATCCCTAGTTTTTAAAGAAAATTGATTTTTCTTTAAAAATAAAATACCGGCCAGGTGAAGGGTAAAAACGGAAAACAGATGATTTCTATTGGTCGAACCAAACAAATTCGGAACCAATCCGGGTCACTGGACCAAAACGACTGTTTCCATTTCGTTACCCTATAAATTCTTACATTCACACCGCAATCCCCAAACTCTAAAAACCCTAAAAACCGTCGACTCCCTCACTCTTACTCGTGGGTTGGGGTTTCGTTGCTGTTTACGGCTTCATCTCTAGAAATGGTTTCGCCATCGTCTCTCACTCCACTTGTGTCTCTTTACTTTCAATTTTGCTTCATTTTCCAGATCGTTCCCTTCAATTTTTTTGGGATCCAAACATTGTCTTACCAATGTCTCTTTTTCTGCGTTTTTGGTTCATTTTTGTTAGGCGGATGTGGTAGCCGATGTTGCTGCTCCAGGGGTACCGAAGAAGAGAACATTCAAGAAGTTCAGTTTCAGAGGTGTCGACCTGGACGCTCTCTTGGATATGTCCACTGATGAGCTTGTCAAACTCTTTCCTGCTCGTGCTCGCCGAAGGTTATCTCTCGCTATTATCCCTAGTTGATTTTTTTCTTCTTTAAACTTGTATTTAGGGCTTTTAATTTGTAAAATAAGATAGTTTTGTTTCTTCCTTTTTAGGTTTCAGAGAGGTTTGAAGAGGAAGCCAATGGCTCTCATCAAGAAATTGCGGAAGGCTGTGAGTGTTTTATTGTTCATCTTTTCGTCAATATGAGGAATTAACCGATTCTATAGGGATTTTTTCTTTCTTTTTTTGCTTTGTGGATTTGCATTTGTTCTATTCTTGCTGTGCATTGATATTTATGATCAGAAGCTCAAATATTTTTTGAATTTTGGATTACTTTTTCTGTAATTAGTTGTAAATGTGCTTTGATATGATTGACCAGATTTGGCAAAATGGTAGTGATGATCATCTAAAGTTTTAGAATGCTTACCTGATACCTTATCAGGATGTCCTAGTAGCTTTAGTTTTCACTTTGTTTAAATTGCTTATTTTAGGAAACCGTTTTCTGTACTCAAGTTCGATGGTAATATATTACCATATAGTTTAAGAATGCAACAGTTGTTTTTCCTCTAGTTTGATTCTCTTGATTTCATGCATAATATTGTTTTGGTTTTTGCAAGCAGCCAGGTTGGGAAACTGATGATATCATCTTTTCAACATAATATTTTTGCATGTCCACTTGTTGTTTAAAGTTATGTTTAAATGGTTGATGATAATTCTGATAGACTGTTAAGTTCATTTTCATAATTTTATATATTGACTGCATGTTTTGATGGACCAAACTTGTGATATTGGCTATGGTGATGTGATCTTGCAAAGCAGTTTCTATTATTTTGACCAGGCAAAGGAATATTAACCATGTATTGTTTGTTGTTGAGTAGCTGTTAATTAAATATAGGTGTAAGGAAAACACGTGACTGATTTAGTTGTTGGAGACTATCGAGGGTTTCTATGAAAGAAATAAATATACACAACAAAAAGCCTGTTAGCTATAAGAGGATATCATTGGTCTTATTGAGTTTTGGTTCAATCTTTTGATGAGGAAATCTGAAGGTAGCTCCACAGCATGATATGACATTTTCATGCATAGCAGAGAGTGTAGAATTAAGCATCATAATCTTTGTACCATGGTGTAAACTCTATTTTTCCAAATATTGCTATGAGCTAAATATCAAACCATTGAGGGGTCAAAATTTTTTTTCTTTTTTTTTGGTTTTAATAGTTGCTATTAAAGTTGATACCTAAGATGAGATATTGAAGGAAGTGTTGGTATATGGTAATACGACCCAGTCTGAAATTTTTGACAGTGTTAAGCATTTGGGTTGATTAAGCAGTTGTTGTAGTACGAATTGTTGCTGATCTGGTTGTGTGACATGTTTTTCCTGTCCTACGGTTCCAGTATTCTAAGAAAGAAGCAATACTCCCAATTTGCTATGGTTACCACCCTTTTTTCATTCTGATATGGTGGTGGCAGGCTATGAACCTCCATCTGCTTTGAGTAGAAATTTAGTAGATACAAAAATTTCTCTACTGTTGCAATGATAGCATTTCTTCTTGATTGCAATTTTGTAAAATCATGTCTTTAAAGGCTCATTTCATGATTATCTTCCCCTCTCTTCTGCCTTTCATTAGCTATTTAGAATTTTAGTTTTGTTGCATATGTTCAAATTGAATGTAGATGGCACTATACATTCATTGGGATATTTTACTGTTTTCTTTTATTATAATAAATTTCCTTTGAACTATTTTAGTCTTTGGTGATGATACCAAAGTAATGTGGATTGCACTATATAATGAGAATGTTTGTCTGCTGTATTGAAATAGAAACGGGAAGCTCCACCTGGTGAGAAACCTGAGCCTGTTAGGACACACCTCCGCAACATGATTATAGTTCCTGAAATGATTGGTAGTATTATTGGTGTTTACAACGGAAAGACCTTCAATCAAGTGGAAATCAAGCCTGAGATGATTAGCCATTATTTGGCTGAATTCTCAATCTCCTACAAGCCTGTCAAGCACGGAAGGCCTGGTATTGGTGCCACCCATTCATCCAGGTTTATTCCTCTCAAGTGAAGATTCTGCATGTGCCTTCATTCTTAGCCTTATTGGATTTTTTTTTTTTAAATTTTATATGAGTTTGTTTATTGCCAGCTGCTTTTCTGACAATGAGTACTCAAATTTAAGCTTTGCATTTCTTTCCTATTTCTACTTGTGAACTAGTAGTTAAAAAAAATTAAGTTTTTTTTTTTTTTTTTAAATAGACCTAATAAGACGAGGAAAGCTTACTTTGCCGAGAACCAAACGTCATAAACATCTATTTCGCGTTCCTTATGTCATGATGTAGTTAAACAGATTGACTCTCTCTGATTGGAGATCCCAGTAACAAATTGTTAGCTCGTACGACCTCATTCATCTTTTAAGCCATCGTACTTGTTACCTAAGGTTGCAGCAAACACTATAGCACGGTTTGAGAATAATACGAACTAGGCGAGTGACACTTTTGACCCCATCTTCATTCCTTTGACAATCAATAACTCCAGAATTTTAAATCAACCTCCATCATAACTATTCAAGGGTAGTACCATATTTTCTTCAAATCCCATATTTTAGATTTACTTGAATGCTGTGGAAATTCTACCTTTATAGCACAGGTACTCCTTCAAACAAGTAGGCCAAATCGGGGAAGGAGAATTTGCAAACGTTGGAGATCGAACTCCAGCTTTGCTAGAGTGAACCATATGGGTTAAATTTTAGGTTCATTCCTGCCGTGGTTTTGGAACCGAGTAAAGAGGAAATGCTATTATTGCCATGTTTTGTCAAAGCATGTTGCCCGTGTTGGATGCTCTACGTAACTCACTTGCCTTGTTTTAAGGCTCACAAGAATTTAACATCAATAATTCTTAAAGGGAAAGGAAACAAACAAGAAATTGAAACTGATTGGTTCAACAAACTCAGAAACCATTCTTTATATATATAATTGGTTGCCAACTCATCCCATCTTTGAACTCAACCAGTTTCGTACACCTTAGTCATGTCATTTCAGAGTTTCGAGCTGTATGTGCAAAAATGCAAATCCTGTTAGAGCCTTGAAGGTTCGCAGAATTAAAAAAAAAATAAATAAAAATCCAAGAAGTGAAAAGAAACTTTAAATTTATATCCAATACTTGATGATTGGACAAATTTTCGACAATTTTGATTTGATTCCAAACGTATTAATGCCTAATCATTAGGCAGCAGCTCCCGTAGAACAAGTTACAATTTCAGGCATGTTAAAGACGAGAAAAGCAGGCAGCCCCCAAAACTTTGTTAGCTCGTAAAATGTCCAAACCAAACACCAATAGCAACACCTTAAGCAGCACTGATGGCATTTCATTCAATTCAAAAAGTTCAACCCCTTTCATGCATTGATTGCCTTGAAAGATGAAACAGTTCTTACAATTTAAACCCTAACTCTACAATTTCTTTTGGTCCAGTATTAGGCTTAATGCCGGCTGCCAAATTTTTAAAAAGGCTTCGAGAGCCAACACCCTCTGATGTCCCCCCATGCTTGAACCATGTACAATATGTACAGGAGCAAGTCAAGCCAACCATTAAATAGGTAACGATTGAACATTGAAGGCTTGAAGCAATTCTAGCAGAGTTTCCACTAAGACTATGTTTTTGTTGATTGTGATGGTAATCTTGGATGGTTATGCTCACCTTCATAGGTAACAATAAGCATGGATGTCTCTTCCAAGCACCTCTCCACATGCTTCCTTGCAGGGCAACCTCTTATACTGCTACATTTATAATATCCCCTGCACCAGTTAAAAAGAAAAGGCCTCGTAAGTAGTTAAATTTAGACAGATTCCACTATATGCACTTCAAATTAAACATAAAAGACATAAATGTGCAACTAGAACTAGCACCATCACTAACAACCAACTTAAACATAAAGGATATAAATGCATCTCTATTCAGCTTGGCCCTGCTGAGAGTAAACGTTAAAAGAGAATCAAAATCTTAAAGACACTTTATATGGTATGCTTGTTTGGAAGAAAGGAAAAGGTTTACTCCTCCCCAACCTTCCAGCATCATCTAACTTTTCACTTCACCATGGGTTGAAAATTTCCAACACTAGACAGTTTTCTTTTAGTATCATGTAGACCAAGTTACTCGCTCAATGCAGTAAAAGCATAAATCTGAACTAATACTATCTAATGGAAAGTAGCTGATATTTAGTAATACTAGTCCTTTTCAACAAAAGTTATAGCTAAAAAAAAAAAAAAGCCTGGTTTTCCTAAATATTGAAACATTAATGGCATTGTTACACATAACAAAAAAATTGTTTTGCAACAAAGTTTCCTAAAATGGGGAAGAAAATGCTCTTGTTTATCCACTTCAAGTCTGTAATACTTCCTCCTAAAGGAAGTGATAATCAGATAAGGCAGACAATAGGATCATTTAGTTAAGGAGTTTCATTACGAGTCTTGTTTCAATCTAAAAGTTCATGTTTGCACTTAAACTTATAATGCCACAAGCAACACTGAGCAGGGCAACACCAAAATTCAGATAATAATATATCAAATCTCAGTCTGATGATGATCATTACCTAGGGTGAGGAGAACCCTTGATTGGCTTCTGCCCATATTTCCTCCATGAATAATCATCAGGAGGAATATCAGCAAGCTTGTTACTGATAGCAGGCACTTTGATTGATCTTTTTACTCTATGTTTCCTGCCATCAGAGCGTAACCAATTAAGAAAAAAGTAGAAAACTAGATCAAATTCCTTCTCCGGAAAAGAAGCAATTACGATAATTAATACCAAAAGCATAAGTTTATATAGAAACTAGGGGGGGAAAAAGAGAATCTTACCTCTTTTTGGAGCAGTGGCATCTACCACTACTTCCACATTTGACACTCTCATCTTCTCCTCTACCAGAACACTTCCTCTTCTGTTGCGAACCCTGATCTGAGGGAGGAGGCACCCCAATTAAATGAAAGACACTCTCACCATCCAAGTTCGCTACACTACCATCTATACTCAAGGAAGAAATGAAAGACCTAGTTGATGACATGGGAGGTGTGCAGCTAGAGCTACTCTTCCTAAACATCATTTCAGCTTGATGTTTCATTTGCTGTTGTTGCTGTTGCTGCTGCTGCTGGAGCTGTAACCTCTGTTGCAGCTGTTGCTGTTGTTGGAGGAAATGATAGTGACCGGATGGCGCCGGTTGAATGAGTTGAAGAGGGTTTTCCCCATTTGAACTCAATTCTAAAGATAGTTTTCCTAAATGGAGAGAATTCTTGGAATGTGAACTCAATTCTTGAACTGAACTTTCATGGTAACCAAGCTGCAAATTCCTGGATGGATAATCTGTAGCCTTAGGGTGTGGATTATCCAAAAGGATGCTCTCAGGAAACGGGGTTTGTAATTTCCTTAGCTTCCTTACTCTTGCATGTCCCAAACCAGCGTTTAAAAGAGAAACTACTCTTTTGAACCTAAAAACAGCTTCCCCCATTTCAGCTATTAAATTTCTATAATGAACCTGATCTTGAGGTTGAGATAAAATACTCAAAACTCTATGGCAGCTCTCTACTGCTGCCTTGTTAGTTTCCTCAACCTCCTCCATGTTACCCCAAATCCCACAAGGATCCTAATTCATCAACCCAAATTACTTAAACTAAAACATACCACAAAAACATTAATATTTAAACAAAAAAATTCAAATTCAAATTTCAGATCACTACCAACAAAGATTTCTATAGCAGAAACAGTTCTCCTACCCAAAAAAAAAAAAACTTTGTTGGAATTGGTGTTGTCAAACCCTAGATTCTTCTTCTCATGTTTTTTAAGATTGAAAGGTGTGAAAAGAGAAGACTTCGTTTTTGCCTTGGAGAGAACTCACAAAGAGCCATAATAAAACAAAGTTCCCATCTTTCTTTCTCTTCTACTATTATATTACTAAATAAATAATATTTTTAAAAAATCTAGAGAAAAACCCAACAAAGAAATTCAACAGGGAGTGAAAAAAAAGAAGAGAGATTTAAATAAATAAAGAGGGTGTTTGAGCAGCAGAATAGGTAGGAACTGAGTAAATGAAACTGCCGTCTCTGTCACAGATTTGAAGGTGGTTCCCAAGCAAAGACCTTGGTTTATTCTTTTTCTTCTACCATTTCCGGGTATAATCAGTGCCTTCTTTTTTTTTTTTTTAATTAAATACTATTTTTTTTACAAGATAACTGTTTGAGCTCCAGTTTTTACTTCTTCCAGAACCGGATGTGCTTTGAGGTTTCTTGTATTATTATAAATTGCAGAGTTGTTATGAAGCTGGTCAAGAGTTGGGGACTTTTTACAGACTTACTTTGTCCCTTTTTTTTCAATTTTTATTTACTTGATGTTCTTGTAATTTTTTCTTGTCCTAACTTTGAACAAGGGATGCTAAAGCATGCGATGGATTTTGTATTTTTGTGATAGGATTTGTCTGTTATTAACCTAAATGAATTACATCATTCACAAAAGGAAAATATGATTCAGAATTAAGTTGCAAATCGACATCCTAAAGTTGTTTTATGGTATGGAAATAGTGGATGAAAACAATGTATTCCACCATTTTTTTAAGAGTGCTATCACAGTCATTCATTACCTTTTTTTTTTTTAATCTTTTGCTAATTTTACTTTCTTATATCTTTTTGAATTCACATAGACTTTGATAGCTTAATTATTACATATAGAATCCCATAGAAAAAATTAGTACTCTTATTTCATAAATGGAGGAATGCATATAATTATGCAAAATCAAAAATTTTTTGGCAGATTTTGCTTTGCTGTGATAAACCCAATTTGCAGTGTTTTACCTTTTCAATAATGGTGCTTTCAAAGTCAAATTTAGGTCATTGACTCAAAGGGGTTGTTAAAGGTTTAGAAAAAAAAAATAATTAACTAAAATTCAGTGCAAGTAGCCAAAGGGCCAAAATTTACTAGCGTCAAGGTAGTAGAAACAAAGAAGAGTACCCAAAGGGGCAAATTTTGCTTGTGCCTTTTAGTTTTACTTTTGGTCTTTTTCCCCGTCATTTTTTATTCTTATAAAAATGTCCGCCACAAAAGTGGGGCCCAGACGGGTACTGGAAAGCAGTTCGTATATAACCGTAGTTGGTGTCATCCAATCAAGTAATCCCACGCGTGCCCGTTCTCGCCCCCTATAGTCCGACACGTACGGCAAGGTGGTGGTGCCTCTGACCGCCAAAACGGTATCACGAGCGCTAACTTGCGCCGGGAGAACACCGCAGAGATCGGTAACTCTCAAGCACGAGAGACAGATGTGGGTCCCTCTGCCGTTGACTTCAATATCAGGTTTGTCTAGAGATGAGTACATGATCGTTCAATCGATTGAATTTAAAAAAATCAATAATTAATTTAATTAATTTTTATTTAATAAATAATCGAATTTTTATTTAGATCTGTTTTCGAATATATTCTTTTATCGCATGTACATTTAAATTTAACATTTTAATTAAAGAATTTCAGTCGGACATTTCGGTTTTCGGCCCGAAAACTTATACCAAAAACATTTTAATTAAAATGATTAATTAATGGGGGAATAAAAGTATTTTGGGGATTTCACAAGCTTTTCTTCTTATCGCATGGATTAAAATTCAAAACGCCTTTTTTTTTTTAGATAAAGCAAAGGAAAAGTACAAGTATAGAGAAATGCATTGGGATCTGAGAGTCCTGAAAAGTGAGGAGCTTTAAGGAACGCACGGGCATGATTAGAATTTGCTCTTGTAATGAACTTCGCCAGCGAAGAAACCGTGGGGCGCAAAAATGCTTTTCCGTCTCCTACCCTAAACAAGAAAACAATTGTTTAGTCTTTTAAAACCTAGTAGTCACTAAGATTTGATGGGACTTTGAAATACTTTTGTCTATTAACTGATAAAAATGTTTGCATGGAAGTTTGAGTAATGTCAGTGACAATCACAGTAGCAGATGCTTTAAATATTTTTGCTCTTAAAATAATCCCGTTATCTAATATTTTAAACTTTAAACCGGCAACTCTTAATAGCAAGTTTCTGTTTTTCGAGTTATTTTTTTATTTTTTTCTATCTTTCATAATCTAAACTGAGGTTGATATCTGTGAACTATAAAACATCGTTTCTCAATCTCCTGTTAATTTTGATACAAATAATTTTCCATCTCTTTGAGCTTTCTTTTTAAGAATATTGGATAAGGTACAAAAATGGTGATAGGAGAAACCCATTTTTTTTCAGGTTTTAAACTTTTTGAGATAAAATTAAAATTAATTTGAGAGATTATATTTATAATAATAAAAGAACCCCAAAATTCAAAATTATACTTTTTTGTCTTTACAATAATTACATAAAAAATTATATTTTGAGAAGACAAACACGTTTTTTATATTTTAAATTTTTTTTGATACAAGTATGTTTCAATTTTTGAGTTTGACGAGTAATTTTTGAAAATTTTAGTTTAGAAATTCAATCAAAAAATTGAAAATTGAGATAAAATCAGCTTTTGGGATTCGTGAATTGATATAGAGCCAGCTTTTTGGGCTTTCGCATTTTAATAAATGAAAAACTAAAAATTGATCGAGATTTCAGAAATTAAATTTAAAGTTTGTTAAACCATAAAATGACGTGACTATTTTAATGCGATGGAAGTTTTTTTTTTTTTAATTATATTAGAAAGGTAAAGGTTTAATATAAATTAAAAAAATTATTCAAAATTAGGTTTTTAATATCTTTTAAAATGTTTTTAACTACTAAATTAAAAGCTTAAGGACTTCCTCTAAAAGTTTTGGTTTGATTGAATGTCAACCAAACTCGAGGGACTGACCGTTCTCATTCATCCTCCACGCCTCTGTCTTTGTGATTAGGCTTTTAAACAACAAAGTCAAACAGTCTCAACTATGATGAGTCTCGGAAATATCTTGCAACGGCAGAGCCCACCTCACAAGTTTAATGGAGGCTGTGCCCCGTCAGTCATGTACGTCACTTGTGCCTCCAGGTTTACACCATCAATCAACAAAGCATTCAAAATTATTAAGACAGGACGTTTAAAACAGGTTTTTTTTATCAGTCTGAACTCAGAGTTTGGCAGAAGGATAAACCAAAGCTACGTACAAATTGACTGCACATTCACACTTGTGCACGGCCAATATACAGTTCTGTGCGAATAACGCAAAGGAAAGGGATTTTTGCTCTTTTGCAGATTTATGGGGTGAACGGGCTGTTTCCTGGGGTTGGCATTACTGCTTGCCACTCTTCAATTAATGGTATCAAAAGATTCAGATGGAGAATCGTGTATAATTCATGAATCATGGCGATTTTGGCATCCAAGCGGTGCAAAAACAGAGACGGTCAGAGATGGATTGAGAGCTTCAATCCCACCTAAAAAGGTGATAATTGTACCTTAATCTAAAGTAAGTGAATCTGTATTCGATGGAATCCAGAGGATCAAGAATACTTCATGCTAAAATTTACAGGAAAATTTTGACAATCTAGGCATTTTCAAATCATAAACTCACAAATTTTCTCTCGAAAATTCACCGGGTCATACAATATTTGTTCAACAACCTTTTTGTGTCTAGCTGAAAATAAAGCTACTGTTTTCTTGCCTTTCCCTTCTTTGCTTGCCGTGCGTCCATCTGTTCTTTCCCTGCAATTTCTGACATGTTCACTGCATCAAAAGGAAGAATGCTAACTAGTTAGAACATCCAGAACTAAAACCATAGGTACGCCGACAAATGGTTAAAGAAAATGTTGGAAAAAAAAATGTTCGTAACTGTATATAAAGTTCATGCAAGTAAACTCGCTGGAACCATGTAAATAAAGTCCATGCACCCTTTTCCACTGCCAGATCTTCGAAATCTTTTCCAATTAGATTCTTGATGGCTTTTCATTGTATGTCAAAAAGAAACACCATGGTGTTTTAGTAAAATTTTAAATTTCAGACGTTTAAAAACAATTACTTGCAGGAGTAACATGTACTTAATGGCCACATGACCTTGATCAAATAATGATGATTTTTGTTTGGCTACATATTCAACACAGATGAGTGATTTTATTACAAAGAAACGAAGAACAATACCATCAGGTCCCCGAGCCATCAAAGTAAAGAATATATTGTTTAGTTTCTCCATCTTCTTGGCCTTGTGTGCTTTATCTGTCTTGAACTTAAGACACTAATAACAAGTAAAATAGTTCATAATGAGCAAACTCCATAGCGTACAGCATGAAAGAAGTAGAGTAACATCAAATCGAGATGCCACAGATCCCATTCAAAAGTCTCAAAATTGCAACTGATCAGTTCTTTTCCTTAAAAAATCTAAAGGTCAAAAATACAATAGAAGGTGAAAAAACAAAAACCTCAAAAAATACATTTACACTAGGTATGAGAATCATATTTACTGAGGAGATATATGATTGGAAAGACATGGGGGAGACAGAAGCAGCATTGAGATTTAATTGTGATTGTCTAATCTAATGTATCATATTTTCCCAACAAAACTGATTAAACTAACTTTTATAAGATATCCCTCGACTGTTTTGGGCCTTTAGTCCAGTCGAGAAGCTATTAGCTGATAGGAGCGGGCTCCAAATTGGCTCTTATACAATCAAACTTTTGATATTCAAGCAACACAGGATTCTTATCCACGGCATCCTCCATCACATGTCCATATCCAACCATGGCCCCCTAGGACTAAGTTCTAAACCCAAAAGCCACAGATGATTGCAGTAGGCTTCAATTATGTTCTTCCATCACTTAAGCTTGAGATATTCTGATCAAATTAAATTTACAGATTGATCCTTTTCTACTACCATCATATCCTCAATTATCAAATTCTCACTAACCTTTCAGACTCAAAAAGCTATAAGGATGTTCTGATAACAAGTGCCAATTATTAATATTACATACATATTCCAAGTCAAAGTGATAACAATATTGATTGATGAAAGCCTTAACATGGTACCAGACAGGACATGGTATATATTTGCAATTTAGAAAAAAAAAAAAAGCTTTATTTAAAAAAAAAAAAAGAAGTATTGTCAAATGAAAACAAAAATAAAAGTATTTTACACTGATTGCATCAAGAACATAAAAAGAATTATGCCAAAAATCCATCCAAATTAAAAGTGAAACAGATCAACAGCAGAAGAAAAATGTAAGTTCTTGAATCCTGAAACTATGAATTGATCACTCAATGAAACATAGGTTAGATAAAATTGACATGGTTAAAACTTCAATGCCATTCATCAGTACAGAGTACAGTTTGTGAGTTAAAGAAATCAGATCAACACTTACTATGAACTTATCTAAACACAACTAAGCAACTCAGATAACATGGAAAGCAAGCATAACCATTAAGGAATTTTGAAGATCTCAAAACAAGGTAAGAGTCACAAGGAACATTTTGTCCATATAATAGAAAATTTTCTCAAAGCACCAAAATGCATCACTTCACCAATTAATGCTAACCTTACTGAAACGGCTTCCTTAAAGTCCTGTTAATGCAATTTCCATTGCCTTTCTTCCCCTTGTATGAGTCTCACAAAAACTGACAAATATAGCATAAAAACACTAGCAAGATTCACTCATGCATTATTACTAATAATGAAATAGTCAAATGTATTAGCATTTTCTGTAATTTGGAGACAGAAATAGAAAAAAGAATGAGTTTAATTGAAATTTCAACTGTATAGTCTAGATAACTTGGCTGCAAAAAAGATAGGAAATTAACAAGACAACATGTTTGTGCCAATTTTTCCAAGAAACCTAGGTCTTACATAATCTATGATCAAGAGTTTTCCAGTTTCTACTTCCCTCAACAACAAGCTATCAAATTCCTCAGTCTCTATTTGAAAGGCACAGTAATAATCCAAACTGTTAACAGAAAAGGAATGCTTCCGTCTGTGTACAACTTCGAAAACCAAGAAACAATAAACCAGCAGAAAAATAGAAAAAGGAAATCATTGACGCAATTCCATCAAGAGAGCTACGATAGATACAATCTCAAGTACATTATCCACATATTGCGTATCCGAAAATCTGCTCAAGTAAAACAGATGCTCAAATTCTCACACATTTTCTTAATTAATCCCAAATCTAACCTCATTCTTCGGCAACTAAACATCAATTAACACTTCAACATGACAATTGACTCAAACAAAGCCAACGACATAAGCAATTAGGGAAATTAAACTCACCTCTTTGTTATCAGTAACCTTCAAAACCAATTTGCCATCTTAATGCCGGTATTTCATGCAATATCACGTCTAAGTCCCCCGATCAAAATCCAGAAAAAAAAAAAAAAAAAAAGCACAAAACAATCAGTAACAATCATAACTGTTACTATTTAGGAAACCTAAACTGTGCTAATCAGACCAAAACTTCCATTTATTTAATAAAAATAACAGCAATAAGAGTCAGAGATGGAGAAAAAGAGGGAGGGTAAAGTTAACATGCAGATTCAGGATCGGCACGGAACAACTGCACGGTTCCTTCGACGAATTCGTCCCACATTGCTGTGTAATTTTGCAGTAAGGGTAGTATTACTCTCAGCCCTAAGAGGAGAAAATAAGCAAAACGCTGCGCTTTATATTAACACAACCGATGAACACAATACGTCTTATTTTAAAACATCCGACAAACACATGATATTTTTTTGTACATGTCGTTGCTATTTAAACGCAGGTACTTCCCTAAGCTTGTTCTCAGTTAGATAATTGCCCTGCTGACAATGATCAGTCACTATTCTGCTATTGGCTTGACCTTTTCTTTCTGATTGTTAAAGCATTCTAGGGTTGCTGGTCTATTGTATTTTTTTCAGCAGGTGGCTTCATTAGGAAACAATATTGCCATTCAAACTGCTTCTGGTCAAGCCTGATTTTTCATGCAGGGATCATGTCAATAAGACAAAAACATGTGTTTCATTTGGATTTCTGAATTTGTTGGTGTGCTTGTTATGAAGAGTAAATAGATGAGATTTTTCTTTAAAAAAAAAAAAGGGTAAGTGGGTTTTTAAGATTGCACAAAACTTTTGCTTTTTTCTTTTAATTTCATAAGATTTAAATTGAGAATACTCAAATCCTTGTGTTCGATTCCCAGATTTCCTATCCCGAGTTTTTCAGTCCCAAGTGCAAACAGAGTCCAGCGGAACTCAGGAACTTGGGCCCACTACTGCAAGCTTGTAAGTCTCAAGGAGTGTTTTATTTGTTTAATTATCCTTAACCTTCAAAACCAGATTAATCATGACCCTTCAACTTCTCCCAAATTCCCAATACATGGCAGAATAAATAAGTAAATAAATAAATAAATAAAAGCACTTAAATTTGTCAAATCCAAATCAAATTAGACGATGCATAAGATAGATAAAAGAAGCGAACCTAATAATAGCCCTCATTTCACCTTCCCCAGCTTCCCTGTTTTTCTTGGCTCTTTTCCCCTCTCTTGACACCCCAAACTATTCTCTTTGCAACAATATCCCATCATTTCCTCTATCAAACTTGTTGATCTTTGAAATGGCGTTACTTTCAGTTGAAAGTCTTGTTTACCCTATAATTCATTCCGTTTCTTCTCGTCTTTCTTTCTTTCTATCAAGATACTACAACGTCGTTGTTTTGTGATTTTGACGTGCAGCTTATGGACAAGCATACAACAACGACTGTTTTGGTGTGACCTCGTTAAGAGATCTCGATCGCCTCAAGGTTTTGTAACTTAATACCCCTTTCCGTTAATTGTTTTTCTTTCTTTCTTTGGTTGCAGAGTTGGCTAAGAAGAAAGCCAAGGGAGGAGATTTATCAGTTATAAGGACGAAAGCGGCCTATCCATTTTCCATTTTCCCGCGATTGCCTGTAGAAAATGGATATGCAAGTATCTTATCGAGGAACTTAAACTGAGTGTTGATGATTTCATTGATGACATGTAATAATAATACTTGCAAAAAACCTGGTGTTAGTTGCCCCTGGCTTTAAGCCATTGTTTTAACTTTAAGGTTTTTTTTTTTTATTTTTTACTTTTGGAAATTCGCTGTTTTGTTTTACCAGGTTTCATTCCTTTACATAAAGCTGGTAAAACAATATACTCTTGCTATTTATCTTCTTGACAAGGGAGCAAATCCCAATGCTGCAGATAATCACGCCAATACTCCTTTGCATATGGTTGCTAAATGGGTATTTTACATTGTTTCATTTGCATTGTTTTTTCTTTTCTTTTCTTTTTTTTGATTTATCATTTGCATTGGTATTGCAACATATAGCGTCGTATGATTATTTTTAAATGGTTGGATTTGCATTGGTATTGCAACATATAGCGTCGTATGATTATTTTTAAATGGTTGGATTTGCATTGGTATTGCAACATATAGAGTCGTATGATTCTTTTAAATGGTTGGATTGTTTAATGCAGGACCTCAGAAACTTTTGGAGTATTTAATTGACAAAGGTGCTGAAATTGATGCAAAATCAGATGCTGGAACACCATTGCAACTTGCAGCATCTGAAAATAGGAAAGATATTATGGAAGTTTTCCTGGATAACCGTGCCAATTGAAGGATGATTAAGGTTTTTTCTTTGTGCTTCTTAAATAATTCTTTAGAATTTTCACCGTTAATGACATTTTCCTTATAATGACTTTTTATTTTTTAATTTTTCTTTTCACTCTTTTAAAGCCAAATGTTACCTCCCCTGATCTAAGTTCCCTATTGTATTCATCGGTTGTGAATGGATCATTTGAATGTGTGAAGCTGTTGCTCCAGGTATAGATTTTCTCTACTTGATTAATTTTCTCTCCTTCAAGTTGTTAGGTCCTTGATATTTGAAGTATACAAGCTCATATAGATATGATTTATGTACTGTAACGAGTTATTATTGGAATTGGAAGCAATTACAGGATCGTTTAGGATGATATCGGATTCGGAGCTAAGTTGGTCTTTATTTCTCACAAATGGATTGATTGTTCTGTGACCACCATAAGCAAATAGATTGCTATGGCAGAGATGGTTTTATAACTTTCTTGTTTTGTTTTACATGATTGTGGTTAACAGGCAGGGGTAGATCCAAACTTTGTCTCTCAGGGAGATACACCCTTAGGGATTGCAGCCACTACAGGTGGGACAGAAATTATCGAGTGCTTGTTGGATGCTGGAGCTGATCCAGATGTCCCTAATCTTGTGAGTTATAACATTCTTCTTGGTCTCTCATTTATTTGTAATAAAAATATTTTGAAGCATTAAACCTGCAATGATTCCAAATCAAATTTTTTATTGTAAGGTGAGGTACAGTGCCATTATAGATCCTATCTTACTTTTTGTTGGAGCATGTACTACTGTAAATGGTTCTTACTAGATGTTAATGATGTTTACAACTGCTTATCTTTATATTATTTGGTGATGGACTTTGAGAGAAGCTTTATTTTGTAATTATTACTGAATGTTTGAGGTCGGTTACTGTTTTCAAAACCATTGTTTATATATCTGAATCCAGACTTGTCACATTGTGTTCAAGATGGTGAGTTTATTACATGGTTTGTGTTTAAGGTAAGTAGCGCATGGCACATCAAAAAGCCTGGGTGAATGGTTGCTGAGACTGGTCATCTTCGTATGTTATAAACAATGTTCTCTTTCCAGTATATGATTGACTCTCATATAAGTCTATCCCTTGAATAGTTTGAGATGTAAAGCTATTGCGCGTTGCTTAAACATTACTGATAAAAGATTTTAAATCTAAGTAAACTTTAAAAGTTCCTATCAATGGTTGTTGGAATTTTTATTTTTATGAAGTTTTAATGCTTACTATTTATCAGGTTGGAAGTATACCTACTGAACTAGCTGCGTCGCATAACAAATGAGAAGCAGTCTTGTGCCTATTACCAGTTAATGGAGTGTTGATGGAATACTAAACTTTGTTGGCTCTAAGGATGCTACAATAAAAAGGTATTACAAGATTGTTGTTCCCAAATAGTTGCAAATTACATAATTCCCCTCTTTTCGTTGTATTAAGTGTGTGTATGTGCTTATATATAAGCTTCTTGGTCATTTTGAATTATATATTGTTTCAATCCTTTGGTCTAGTTTGCTTCTTTGGCTATTGTATTTCCCAAGGTAGATTGAATTTTTAACAACTCAGGTTGAACAACAATGAATAAGGTTTGTCGTTCCTTTCCATGGACTTGTGGGGTTATATTAATGTTAGAAAATTTCTTACGAGTATGTATGCTTTTTGCCCATACTATGCTTTTAAACATCGCTGATTTGAAGCCTTTTTGTTTAAACGTTCAGCTCAGTTGATTGGAAAAGGAAATTCATATAAAGTTTAATAGTATAGTATACTTCTGTTATGATATTATATGATAATAATCAATAAACATGTTAAACCTTTATTTGATAGAAAATTTATTTAATTAAAAAGCATATTATATAATTCTTTCTTTTTACCAACAAATAAAATAGCCCATCACTTTTTGAGGTTGTTGATAAATGATGGTGCAATATAGAAGAATAACGGTTCCATGCAAAACCATGCCGTTGGGTACATCCCATTGGATTCGAAAAAAAAAAAATCAGCGCATGCAAACGTAGTAAAACCTCTCACTCGCTTTACTTCCTTTAGCTGCTCGCGAAGCTCGACAATCAGCTCTCTCTCTCCGATCAGATTCATTAAAACCAAGAACGGCCTCGCAATCCCCGCCCACAACCGCGTTCCGCGCCACCCATGTTGCGAGTTCCTCTCCCTTTCATCCTTCGCCCGCCCCATATCCTTTGAGACGCCACCGCCCGCATGAAGCGGAACCTCACCTACTTCCGCGTAAACTACGCCATGATAATCCTGGTTATCCTTTTCCTCAGCCTCCTGTGGCACCCAATATCCATGATCATCTTCTTGGTTGTCTTCGTCGCCTGGTTCTTCTTCTACTTCTTCCACGACGATCCCTTGGTCATTCTCAACCATACGATCGACGACCGCCTCGTCCTGACGATCCTCGCCTTAATTACGATTGAAGCCCTCGTTTGGTTGAACGTATTGGTTTCTGTTTTGATTGGGGCTCTTATCGTGGGACTAGACGCAGCGATTAGGGGAACGGAGGATTTGTACTCGGTCGAACCGGACGGTAGCAATGGTGGGCTGTTCTCGGTTGTGGGCAGCCCCACCCGAGCTGGGTACTCCCGCGTTTAAAAGTCAAATTATTGAATTAACGGTGAATTGATTCTTTGCTTATAGTATTAAAAAAAAAATTTCCTTCATGGGGTTATAATATTATTTTTTAATTTAATTTTAATTAATGTGTTTGTATATTAATTTTGTAATTTTGAGTTAAAAGACCATATATATATTATTATAGGCTTTGAAAAAGAATAGCTTCCAAGTGTTATTCTGAATTGGCTAACTGCATTTCGAGATCCTATATTTGATGTATGAAGCAAAGCGTGAATGTCTTGGAATTGAGATACGTGTAAAACAAGATAGATCCTTGCTTGTCAATGGCCAATGCAATAGATCCTTGCTTGTCAATGGCCAATGTAAGGACTAGTTGCCATGAAAGGGTTTTATTTATTATTGCAAAGCTGTCTGTTTATCTACATGGTTGGATGGCCCTACCCCTTTTTTTCCTAGTTTTGCTTTACTTTTTATGGGTCAAAAAGCAGAAGAGCCCCAAAGGCCGAAACTAGTCATTCTTTTCTGTGCAATATGAAATACTATCATCTTGTATGGTTCTGATTCTGAATGCCATTGACATTGAGCTCTGCATGCATGGTGTTTTAAGTTCCAGCCCAACATATATTTTCTTCAATATATTCCTAAGATTTGTGGTTTGTCTCACTAACAGGTAACTTTTGTCTTAATTGGGATATTTTGCAATTCCACAAAGTCAGGTTTTCAGCCGTTGGCGTGTTGTTATCAAATTTTTCTTTTCTTTTTTTTCCCTTCAGCCAAAGTCTTTCCAAGAGGCATTATTTTTGGTTTGCCAGTTCATGTCGAAGTAAAAACTGTTTCTTACCCGCTTCTGCCTCCTTACAGAATCCTTAGTGCCCTTAAGAGCAAACAGTAATCCCTTGCAGAATCCTTAATGAAAGTAAAACTCAAATCTTGGAAATCTTGCCGTGGAATCAAGAATTTAACCAAATCACATTCGATTTATGCTTTGGGTCCGAACTAGACTCAATCAAATAAAAAACATGCTCCAAGTACGACGATGGAATCCCAATCAATTCAATTCCACCAAAACCACGCCATGACGGCTGTAATTGTCAACTTACGCCGCTTATCCTATCACGGGTAGGAAACTTGACATCATTGTTACATTTACATAACACAGGAGGCACTTCATCACCGGTCACAAAGCCTTAAAATCACACACTAGTGTGGAAAAAGATGTTGAAAGCAAAGGTTCTGCTCGAGTGGAAAGTGAGAAAATTTTACATCAAACTAATTCAACACAATGAAAGGAAGTGCCAGCAGTTGTAACTGTAAGTTGATTATACAATCTGCAATTTCGAACGATGATAGCTAATCCCATTACATTGCCGCATAAACTGCTCTATTCGTACGTGGAGAAAGAAAGAAACTATTGTAGAAGAACCAAGTCACTGAATAGATGCTTTTAGAAAATACATGCCGTATCACCCAACGAGATTCCAATAAGGATATATTTATATATTATGGATGTGGTGGGGAAAGAATGAAAGAAAGAATTATTATTGATCTGGGCCTCTTCGAGCATATGCCAATACCATGACAAAATCCTTTGCAGAAGAACCAACAGATGCTGGTACTCGCTGTGATGTTGATGCCGTTCGTAGCCATAAATCGACTAAATTATACAACTGCAATGTGGGAACCACAGGTTGTCCCATACATTTGATCTCAACCTGCCAAAAAATATATATATATACCAAAACGTAAATAAGGACAATACACCCTGTTCACATTGATACCTACCAAAGGAAGTGATACAATGGCTTAAACTACTTATGAAGTGCATGATGCCTGCCGAAATTTACCTATCTAATTTTTTATCCTTCGGTGGTTTAGGAAAATTTTCACAGAATAAACCCGATGCAGCTAAATCAGTAGAATTTATCAAAGAGGATTGTAACTAAGATATGTATCCCAGCAAAGAGATGGTTATACACTTCAATTCCACTGTTCTTCACTGGTTTCAAAAGCAGACTTGAGTGCAACTTAAAGTTTGCTGCAATTTATCTTTCACAGCTTGGGATGAAGCATACAAGTACTTTCTTCTCACATTTAGTTGGAAACTTGAGGCACTCACACTTCTATACACACACACACACACAGAGTTTATGAGAAAAAGAATCTTAACCACAATAAATTGATACAATGATTCAGTGCAAACAACAAGCTCGACCAAGTATTTATATTATTTAAATGAAGATAGTTGTGAAAATGGTTCAGGTAATGAAAGAAGTCTGGACTGGTTTTACATGCATATGGCCATCCCATATGCATGCTTTCGCAAAGTGGAGAATAAGGCTTGAGGCTCTTCTTTTCTAACCAGATTTCAAAATATCCGTGCATAAGAATAAAGCATCCCCATCACATTTTAGAAATAAGCCTCATTGGAAAAATAGGCATTGGAAAACCAAAAAGAAAGTTAATTTTTTGGGCCAAATTTCTTCTTTGCATATCATAAGTGAAAATTCAAGGAGAGATCAACTCACCTCAGCTTCATCAGTGAGATCCAGTTTCTTCATCAGGTACTTTTGGATAAGAGAAACAGGTATATTTCCATCTCTGTCACAGAATGAAAGAAGTATGATAACTCTCTCCAGAAAATTTTAATAATAATTGAATAAGAATCATTCTACCGTTTTAAAAGTCAGAGGTAAGTTCAACTTATAGGTTTTTGTGGCAACACTTAATGAACAAAATTCAGTAGCTACCACAGCCCCTGCTTCTACAAGTGAAACTCTGGGAGCAGGAGTTACACAGAAGACTGCCAAGATATTAGTATCTGTGCCTGTCTCCCTCTGCTCTAACAGTCCACTAAACATTTCCTTCATAACTCCAAGTTATCCACTACCTTATAGACTCCAGCATATAATATTTATCGAATTACTTTAACAGTATCAGGATTGGTAAATGACCCACATGTCTCTCTTTTCCTACGCCAAGCCAAATACCAGGAGATTTATGGTACAGAAAAACAGGATGGCCAACAGGTTAGGATCACAGTGCTAACTAGCAACAAATAAAATTTACAATCTTCAGCCAAAAGTAAGAAGAATATATATAGCAAGCTATTGTAAGATTCATTCAAAAGGAATTGGCAAAAGGAACTTACTTTATCCTTAGGTAAATTGCAGGAATTTGAGGGAGGGGTGCATCTACTTCCCTGAAAGAATTGACCCTTGAATCAGTTTATAACCAAGACAAATTAATGTTAACATAACTCTGTTTTCAATCCATTAAAATATGAAGACTGAAATCAATTCTTACTGGTCTTCAGAGGCCACTAATGAGAACCAAACAGGACCAATTCTTTTTTCATGCTTTAGACCAGCAGCATCCAGCACTGCTTGTGGAGAAATGCCAGAATCCCCAAATCCATAAGCCCTTTTTCGACGGATCCTGCGTAACTTTTTAGGAGTTACAGTTTCTGAAATTGCAGGACCAGCATTATCCTTTTCATCCTCAACTTTTGTTTTGCATTTATCTTCCCTATGTTTGGTTTTGCACATTTGAACTTCAATGTTGGGGACACTAGTGGGTTCTAATTTAGAATCAGAGCCTTGTGAATTAGACTTGAAGGACTTGGTCCTATTTGCAACCTCCACCAAACAATTCAAAGGTTTCCACAGATCCAATTTCCCATCCCATGATTCACTACCATTCTCTGCTTCTTTATTCATGTGCTGGCTAGGTTCAGCAGAAGAAGTACACTGCGTTGTTCAATTTTATAAAGATGACAGAATTATCAGTCTAAGCTAAAACATTAGTTCTTTTCAAGTAATGGATGTTGGAGAAAAAGAGAAATATTAATCAATATTGGACCCTACAAGAACAAAAGTCATCACAAACTTAAAAAATATGTAGGTTTACCAGTCTTTTATTCTGAGTGAATTTATTTAGTGTTTCAGGTGAGCTTGCACTCTCCTGTTGATCCTCCATAGAATCCTCTCTTTTAACGGGCTTCTCAACTGCAAAACTAGAACCTCGTAAAGAACCAGCCTTTCTGGCAACAGCTTTTGTTCTCCGTCCAGTCATGGTAGTTTGTGTTGATACTTTGGGGGCATTAACCACCAAAGAAGAGAGTGATCTCTCCTTTCTTCTAGTTGGCATTGCAACTGGGGGCAGAGCTTCAGGTAACTTCACTTTTCTTCTATTAAGAGGGAAGATTTTGGCCCTCACATCTTGCAAATTATGGTCTGGCCTGATTACCAAAAGCACAGATGAATATCAATACACATTAATTTTTCCAAAATTTTGATTAACCAACATAATACATTGAGTGTGGATGCTTGACCAAGAAAGATACAAAAGGATTATTAAGGAAAGCTAAAAACTGATTGCAATAACATGAATTCTTCCAGTACAAAGTTTTTTTTTCCACTTTGATGTATTTCACCTTGATTTTACCACTGAGAGACTCACAATTCCAAACAATCAATGAGTTCTTACATTTGCATAACACTGCTAGATTCTACCAAGATATTTCACTAGAAATTGGCTAAGTTGTATTTCCAAACAATCAATGAGTTCTTACATTTGCATAACACTGCTAGATTCTACCAAGATATTTCACTAGAAATTGGCTAAGTTGTATATACTAGCCAAATCACTTGGAAAGAGGGGGTACCAAGAAACCTCAGGAGACAGAAGAGAGTTTAAGCAATATTGCTGCTTCTAACGATATCCATGCTTTTCTATCTTCTTCAAAACCTTCCTAACAATGAACTAAGATAAGATGCCAAGATATTTCACTAGAAATTGGCTAAGCTGTATATACTAGCCAAATCACTTGGAAAAAGGGGGAGCCAAGAAACCTCAGGAGACAGAAGAGAGTTTAAGCAATATTGCTGCTTCTAAAGATATCCACGCTTTTCTGTCTTCTTCAAAAACTTCCTAACAATGAACTAAGATAAGATTTCTACTCATTCCACTTCATAATTTTCATTGCATGCCTTTAAATCTGACATTTATAGCATCAATGAGAAGACAAATGGCATGTAGAAGAAGCCACTGTCAAACCTCAAAAGGATGGAATGACTCCCTAATTCGTAAAGATTAAAGATCCTAAGGCATTCAGAAGAAATCAGTAAACTTCTCTGGTAACCACTTGAAACAAGTAGATATCCTTTGGAGCATTTGACAAGATTAAAACAAGTGATTACTTTAAATGTAAAAAAAACTTGTGTCATGACTCATGAAGGAAGCAATTAACATATTAGTTATGACTTATGACTTAAGAAACAGAGAGAAGGTGATATAGGAGAATAATATGTAAATGAAGGATACCTTAATTTCTCCAGAGGAACACAACCCAAATCAATGTTGCATATGGGACAGCATTCTAGTTCTTCCTCTTGTACCTTATCATATATGCACTTTCTGCAAACTACAGAAAATTCAAAAGACAAACCTATCATAAATTTGTATTTGTTGACTCAACAGACTAACAAGGCATTCAAATAAAGATCACACGCATCAATCGTAGAAAGGATTTTAATGGAAACGAGCCAAGAAAAGTGAAGTAATTGAAACAATTGAAACTTTTCTGTAACTTAGAAAAGAGGTTGGTTCCATTGCATTTCAAAAAATGGAAAATCATCTTAAAGTTTGAATCTTCTTATTTACTTGCAAAACAAATAAGGAAAGTTCCAATCTTGGAAAAGACCCATGAATTGGAAGTAAAGTATATGATAGTAAGAAGCCTTAGCTTAATGTGGAAAATAATAACTGGGTGCAATTAATTTTAAACAAACGGATTCATAATTGAATAAACAGGTATGGATTAATGCATTGAAAATCAACTTGCCAATAACCAAACTGTATTGCCAAAAGTAGAGACCATATATCAACAAAGTAATATAACTGTTTCCTTCTCGTCTTATTAAACTAATCCGTACGAATTAATCTTAGATCAATCTTGCTATTCTACCAAAATGCCTTAGCATCAACTACTAAGAAACAGAGGGAAAAGAAACGGCAATACATAAGCATATTAAGGCATAGCAATAGAAACATTAAGCGAACAAGTCAACAAAGAGGATAAGAAGCGAAACCAAGAAAAACCCAGATAAGAAAACGGGAAAAACAAGACCAATCCATATCAGAAGAGGAGTAGAACGCGAAGAAAAAACTGAAAATTTGAAGAATTAAGAACAAATGAACTAGAGAAAGGCAGGAAATTTGAAAGAAAAAGGATAGAGAAATCTCAAGGGGAGAGACTCACACGTATGAAGACATTCAGATATGGTGGTGGCGTCTTTTAGAAGCTTATGGCAAAGAGGACAAGTCATGCATGCCACAATCGCTTCTCTCCTCACTTTCACCACCTGATTCGCCATCTCTCTGTCTTTCTTTTGGCTCCCTCTCCTCTGTTTCAATCTCAATAACCCTTACACGCATCCCTCTCACTGCATGTCAACGACAAGCCAAAGGAAATGAAATTTTACGTGCATATCTTCATAAAACCCGCATTAAAACCCGCAACAAAAATAATAATAAGAAGAAGAAGAAGGATTATAAACAGAGAGGTCGATAGGGAGCGGGAATGAAATCTAAGAGATATGGGTGCATCAAGGAGATGGGGAATATTTTTTATCTGAAATGATAAGAGAGGGGATTGAGATTAAGGGAAAAGGGATGAGACAATGGTGAGTTTTGACGTGGATTTTTCGGACAGGGAAGAAGAAGAAGAAGAAAGTGGATGGGGTTGTTGTGAAGAACGCAAGGATGATCTGAATCTAACGAAACAAATAGAAAGAGAAAGAAAAGACTAAAGGGGCTGTCGTTGAAATGAGCTAGAACCATGAGTTCCCTTTTGTTTTTATGCATTTTCTATTTTATTTTATAAATTTATATTCTACATTTCTGCTACTAATAACTAGAGTTAGGCTAGGTTTTGCACGAGGTTAATCTTGTTATATCAATAAATTACAAAATATAAAATTAATTATAATATTAATTAATTATTATCAAATTAAGATTTAAGACAAGTTGAACGGAGGAGGATTGCAACGAGCATTTGGAATTTTTGGGTGGGTGGTGATGGGGTGGGGTACTCTCCCTTATGAATACAGCACAAAGGGGCATTCAGTTTAAGAGCAGCCCTAATGAAAAAGGGTACCCTAGGCTCTAGTTATTCAATACGCCGTCGTATCTGTTGGTATTAGCTGTTTAAGTTCTTTATTATTTATCACGCTTATAATGCACGTTACCACTTGTTTTGCAAGCAAGATTTGTTATTTTATCAGAATTAAAAAAGGAAAAAATTCTTGAGAGTTTCATCACGTGGCTTTGAAAATATACTTTTCATAATAGTAATAAAGTATTATTATTAAAAAATAAAGTAATAAAGGGGTAAAAACAGGAAAAAAATTTAAATAAATTCCTGAATTTATCTATGCTTTTATACTTATTAATTAAAACTATCCGCTAATCTATATTAAACTGAGACCTGGCATGACAGGCGCTATCAGTTTATTGGATAATTTTTTTAATTAGTGAAATGTTTGTTATTTTGAAATTATTTTGTTAACTAATTAAAAATAATGAATTTTTTAACTTGACTTCACATAGTATTTCTTTTTTAAAATATTATTATTATTATTATCATATTTTTATAAATAAATGCAATACTTTTTATTTAATATATTCAAATATATTATATACTATATAAAAATATATTAATATTGTATTCATACATAACGTATGTAACCATACATTAATATCTATAAAAGTATAAATGTGATGAATCTTTTGAACAGAAAAAAAAAAAGACTTATTTATTTATTTATTATATTTCTAAAATGCCCTTTTGTTAATTTAAATTATTTTTAATTCAATATTTATGAAAGTTAGTATCATAATAAATTAACAATTCTATTCAATGTTAGCTTCTAATCCAATTAATTTATCGAAACAAAGTTGCAGTAGTCTTCAAAATTTTAACTATTCGATTTTTAGTAATGGTTTAACTGTGATTATTATTAGAACTTTTTTTTTTATCTTTTTTTTTTGTTAAAACTATTTTAATGTTTCAATTTATAAATTCATTAATTTTGTGTTTATATGTTGATATTGATTCTTATTTTTAATTGTTAAGAAATATTGTATTGTGATAATAATAGTTCCTTTACAGGTAAAATATATATATTTTTTTTTCTATATATATTTCTGAAGTAAATATATATTTTATTCACAATAACCACTTTTTCACATTATTTTTTCTACAAAATAAAATTTTTATCATAGAATTAAAAAATAAATAAATGTAATTTTTTTTAATTTGATTACTTATATTATTAATCAATAATTTTAGTTGATCCTACTCATTACTCATTTTATTGATAATTACATTTTAATCCAATTCATACATCATGATATTAATCTAGATTTTTTAAACGAAGTTGCAGTCATATTACTTTTTACCATTTAATTGTTATTATTGTTCGTGATTATTTATATAACCACTTTTATTAACAGTTATTGGCTTCGCTTTATATCATAGTTTGTCAAATTTTTAAAATTAAAATATGAAAATTAAAGTGTTGTAATAAATAACTAGATCACCATCGTTTTTTTTTTTTTTTTTATAATCATTGAATATTAAATTAATGAGTTTTTCAACAACTTAATAATAGCAATTCAAAATTACTCAATGAAGGTTTTGAGGTTTTTCTTCCAATTTTTTTACAGATAATGAATTTCTAACATATATTCTCATAGTACTTTTTTTTTATGTTATGTTTGGATAAATATTAATAAAATAAATAAAAAATAAATAAAATAAAATTTTTAAAATAAAATAAATGATAAATGTACCTCTTGTTTGGATAATTAAAATTAATAAAATAAATAAAAATAAATGAATTATAACAATTATTGTTTGGATAAATAGTAAAAAATAAAGGAAACGATTCATTATAATAATTTTTTTCAATTATAACATTTCATTATTTGTGATTTTATAAAGCTTTTTTGGATTATAATATGTTTGTTATCTTATCTCACAATTGTTATTATATTAGTATTTTTTAATCAAGTGAAACAAAAATATATTTTATAAATATGCATTGATGGATTTATCGATCATTATAAAAATTTTAGCACATTATCATTTTGATATCTCATAAACTTAAAAAATATGTCAATTCATATTCAATCATTCATCAACATAAAATCATAAAAAAATTATAAAAAATTTTTATATTGAAAGAGACATGTGAAGCTTACTTGAAAAAAAAAAGATAATTTTGAAAAAATTACAAGAATATTGAATGTGGTTAGGTTTTTTTTTTATTAGACTTTTGGTATTAATAAAAAGTTAGATATAATAATCTTTTTACAAAAATAAAATTCTTTAGCTTTCCTTTCATTAATTTTTTCTCTAAATTTGACTTTTAAAAAGGTAAAAATTATAAAAAAAATCAAAAGTTGTTGAGTTTTCACATATTTATTTTTTTTTAAATTAAAAGTTTATTCAAACAAATAAAAAGTTTTTTTATTTCTATTACTTTCTTTTATTTTATTTTCTTTTACTTTTATTTATCTCAATCTAAACATACTGGTAATATCTTATTATTATATTTTTTTTGTATAAATATATATATATATAGCAATTTCTTACTTAGCATATTCTAATATATTATATAAAAATATAATAATAACATATTTACGTGCAAAGTACGAAGTCATAAAAGATCAATTCAAGAATTTAAAAGAATTTGTGTTGCGTCATTGCAGTGTGAAAATGTCAAAAGGAACACATGTTTCATGTTCATGTTTCTGTTCAAACTGGTTACAGTAAAGCTCATTTTTTAGTGTAAAAAAAAAAAAAAAAGCTCTATAATTCAAAGGGGAAAAAAATAGGACAAAAATGAAACTACCTTGGGTGGACGCTACTTTGTGAATTTAACATGCACGGCAAAATAGTACGAGCCTAACAGTTGGGAAATGACGAAAAAGTGGGTCCGTAGGGGCTAAGTCCTCGTTGACACCAAAGAAATTTTTTTAAATTATGTGTTCTTAATAAAGCTTAAAGAGTTTTTATCAAGTTAATTTGTCTGTTATTAAAATTAATATTAATTTTAGTTGTTATTGGTATAGTAAAGAAAGTATTTTTAGTAATAAATATTTTAAAATTTTATTTACATAATTGAATAAAATATCAATGATTAAATGATCATTTAATTATAAATATTGAAAAATATATATATTTAAAAGCATTGATAATAAAATTATCATACAATATTTTTAAAATATAAAATTGAATAAAAACTTTTAATAATTATAATTAGATATAAAAATTTTAATTTTTTAATATTATTACGTTGTTATTATTATTATATATATTTTTAATACATTTAAATTAACCCCAGTAACTATGATTTCTAGCTCCCAGATAAGCGGAAGAGTATTTATTCCGTTCACACTGAAAACAACGATAAGACAGAGGCAGAGCGAGGCTTGTTACAATTTTGTTCGAGTCAAAAAGGTATTGCCACCTTTGCTTGGTGGGCTTTTGTTTTCTAATCCACCGTGCGGAGCCCAAATCAAACTAACTGTTTTCCAGTTTCTTTCTAACAATCTCATGTTCAATCCTTTATACAAGTTAATAATATTAATTCCCTATATAATTTCTAGATTGTTTCCTTTTATTTTTAAGCTAACCCCTTTCAAATAATTTTAATTATGACAAATTAGTTACAGCCGTATGAAAAAGTGTTTGACGACATCTAATGAAAAAATATTTTTCAAAGCATATCATATTATATTACACAGTAATAAATAATCATCTTTTATTCAAAATTTATATCTTATTTATCTTTAAGTTTAAATTCAATATCTTTAAGATAAAAATTTTAACATGCACCAATGGAATATCTTTTTTTTTTTTAATAAATGAGATTGCAATCTTAAGATAAAAAAAATATTTTAGATGTTAGAATTTAAACTTTATACATATTAAATATCACATTTTAAAAGTATTTTGCATAAATATATGTAAGCTTGGATTCTATTAAAATGTTTCCTTGAAACATGAAATGAAATGAAAATGAAAAGCCATCTTTTTAGAAGGATAAATGCATGCTTCTAATTACCGTTTTAAATAAGCCAACCATACTATTATTTGGTCATCGGATTTGTTTTATGTCATGGAAAGTGGGAAAACATTCGAGTTTTTTGAAAAATAAAAATAAAGAAAATGATAAATCATGATTGCAAAATTGATTGGCGCACGTGCTGTGCATAAGTATATCATTTATAAATATTAGATTATAATTCATTATTTATAATTTTAAATTATATAAAATTTATATTTATAAGTGGTGATCCTTACATATTTTTCATTGTAATTAGGTAATTATTAAATTATATAATAAAAAAAATTTATATGAAATTCTCCCACTTTAAACCTCTGCAGTGCTTAATTCCTCTCCAACAGTTTTGAAGTGGCCCATCACGTGTGCATGCCAAAGGACACTTGCTAAAGAAAAAAAAAAAAAAAAACCTAATGTCTTCCAAAGTCTTGAGACTTTAGTGTTTGGGTTTGAATTAAGTTTTCCTTTTTTTTTTTTTTGCATGTAATTACGATGTTTTTATTTGAAAAAAAAAACCCCCAATTAGAATCAAACAATATTTGCTAATTCTTGAGTAACATTTGAGTTTATTTTTATTTTTTAAGAATTTATTTTATTTTTAATTACTAAATACATTATCACTTGTGTTTTATATTTTCAAGAAACTATTTTTTAAAACCAAACATTATTTTAGTTCTATATCGTAGATGAAAAAACAAATAATTACTAACATTTTCAACCGATAAATTTAACTGACAAAGTTACCAAAATTGGTTGACCCGCCCAAAAAAATGTTACAAATAGGATTTTTACTTATTGATTTCTTTTTCTTTTCTTTTTTTTTTTGTTTTAATAATTTGTTTGCGTTCTCCTTATTCCATATTAATCACAATATGTGTCACTATATCCTCATTTATCATCTATATCCTCACTAAATTTCATTACTAAAAATATGTGTCACCAATCAAAATGGCTGCTGTAAATCTACTACTAAATTTAGTCAACCTTCGTTTTTTTCCTTGTTTTCAGGAAAAAATTAAATGCAAAACGAGAATAAATAATTTCAAGAATTTATGCTATTATTATTTAATTTAATTTTTAATTTGCTTTCTTTCTGTATATGGCTCACCTCAGCTAAACAGTGACACACTTTCCCACAAACACGAGCCCACAAAATCGTGAGGGACAGCTGACCAACAAGTAAAAAGACCATCTCAATCTCATCATAGTGAGACATATTTTCGCTAAAATCAACGGCCAATATCCCTCATCCTTATCATTTACCAATGAATGAGCCACCACCATTTCCATCACTCTCGCTCCTTTCTCGCTATTCAAATCTCTTTGTGCATCAAGTGCAAACGCTTTCTAGCCATGGCAATAGGCCAAGGTATATAAATACAGAATTCCAGATCATAAAAACATTATATATTTCTTTTTTTGATAATAAAAACATTAATTTTAAAACGTACAAAAAATAAAAAAAGGGAATGTCTCCTTCTATTCCAGACCGAAAACGTGAACGAAGCTCCAAATTTCTCCTCCTGGAAAGAGCTGCAAAAAAGAAAAAAAAAAAGCAAAGAAGAGAAATCAGAAACCCTAATTTTTCGTTATTCTTTAACTCCCGTTCCTTGTAACCCAAGTATTGAATCGGTGCCGATTTGAATCTGTGAAATGAGCTTTCTGGAGAACGATTAAGAGAGGAAAAGGAAACTCAACAGGCTGAGGGTTTTTTTATTTTTACCATTTTTTCTTCTGTTGCGAGTTCCTTTTTTTTTTTTATCGATTTATGAAGAAGCATCGTCGATGGCAGAGGATTCTGATCCTCTCTTTGCTCTCTTTATCTGTATTGGCTCCAATCGTCCTGCTCTCTCAGAGACTTAAAACCCTCACTTCTATCGGTAATCTTCTCCGAATCTGCAGATTTTCTAAGGTCAAACATTTTTTATGAAAAGTCGAATGCTTTTACCGTTAGTGGAGTAGCTGATCAGACAAGAAGCCAATGAGGATTACTTAGCACAATTTTGTATCTTAGGTTACAGAAAAATATGTATAATTTTAAACTAAGATAAATGGCCGAATCGAATCTACCTTCTTTTTTTTTCCAAAAAGAAAATTTTTGCATATATTTTATTTTTGGCCTTTTGTGATTTGATTTCCTTTTTTATTTAATTTATTTTTTGATGTTGACTGATCTTTTTTTGTTTGCATATGTGATTCTGCCACGGCAGACGGGAAGGAGTTTATTGAGGATTTGGCCAGTATTGTATGGATCTCTCTTCCTTGAATCTGTTGTAATTTTTTGTTTGTTTGTTTGGTAGATTTTTAATAGGCTTTTGCTTTGTTTGATGCAGAAGTATAGGACAGATGATTTAAAACTTAATGCAATCGAACAGGTAGCTTTAAGATTTATGGATTTAGTGTATTTGGTTTGTACATTTTATCTTGAATTGTTTTTGACAGTTTATGCATGTCTATCTTTGTTGCTCTGTTATTTAGGAAGCTGCCGAAGAAATAAAAGGTCCAAAACTAGTTGTTTTCAAAGAGAAGGATTTTAGTTCTGTAATTACTCGCATTTCTGATGAGAATCATGATTCAGATCATTCTGGGGATGCTCAAGATGCTTCTAAATTGCTAGAAGCAACTGGTTAGTATTACTTTGGGGCATGTAGTGTTTTTTATCAATGACTTTTAGTTTATCGAGTTAAATGTGACTCTTAGTTGCTCCAATTTCTAAATTCAGAAACTAATGCTGAAGGAAAAGGCAAGCATCAAATTCAGCAGAATATAGTACGGATGAACTCCAGGGAAGAGGTGTGTATGTATCTGAAGTATGATGAGATGCTTTACATTTGAATGTGAGTTTAGACTATAGATGGTTGCAGTAATGTATACTTTGAATCTTGCGAGGGAAAGCAGATTTTGGTATTGTAACTCTCTTAGTCTTTTTGAATCTATATAAAGAGAAGAGGATTTGTTTTGCTGACACCAAATAGTTCTGATAAAACTGAGCTGGTATTGAAATTATACATGCCTTGGAAATTTCACCAGATCATCTCCTTTTATCAATTTGTATTACAATCCCCTTTCCATGATATTTTAATTTGCTTCCCACTAATTTATTTATTGACTTTGTGCATCTGTTGCTAAAACCGGAAAAGCAATGGCTCATTTCTAAAATTCGAGCAATACCAAAACATAGTATGGGAATAAGAAATCCATACATCTGTTTTTTTACCATAAATTTCTTTGGTAATATTGCCATCACAATCTGAAGGTTACTGAATTTTTTTGGGGGGAGGGGAGGGGAGGGGGTGGTGGGGTGGGGATAGGGATGGGAGTGATTCTTTGCCAGAATGTCAGAGCTAGAGCAAGTCATGTTAGTTGTAATATATCCGTGACATATAGTTAACGTTAATTTATTGGTTGCAGGAGCAATCCAATCAAGAAACAGATAGACATGATCAGCATTTGCAGTCTCAATCACGCAGGGTAATGGATGAGAAGGTAAAGCAGATGAGAGATCAGCTCATTAGAGCAAAAGCGTACTTAAGTTTTGCGCCACCTGGTAGTAACTCTCACTTGGTGAAAGAGTTGAGAACGCGAATCAAAGAGGTTGAACAAGCTGTCGGTGAAGCCAGCAAGGATTTGAATTTGTCAAGGAGGTAAAATGGGCAAAATTTTACCACCAAATTTTATATTCAATAATAAACTTGATTCTTGATTACTATTAAGTAAATAATTCTTGATTACTATTAAGTAAATAATCTTAGATTTATGGTTCAATTGCTTCCACCAAACTTTATATCTGAAGAACAGTTGAATTTTCAGTGCTTCACAGAAAATGAGATCTATGAAGGTTTCTTTGGCCAAAGCGAGTCATGTATTCCCTGACTGCTCTGCAATGGCTACAAAACTTCGTGCCATGTTTTATAATGCTGAAGAACAGGTTCGGGCACAGAAGAATCAAGAGTCATATCTTGTTCAACTTGCTGGAAGGACTACTCCTAAAGGCCTTCACTGCCTTTCCATGCGTCTGACTGCTGAATATTTTTTCCTTCAACCTGAGGAAAGGCAGTTCCCAAACCAACAAAAATTGAATGATCCAGACCTTTATCACTATGCAGTATTCTCCGACAATATTCTGGCTTGTGCAGTGGTTGTTAACTCCACAATTTCCTCTGCAAAAGTAAACTTCCTGCACCTCTCTTACTTTTTTTTGGTGTTTTATCAGTTTCATTAAATTTCAATCTCGGCTTATTTTATGGTGTTAAACATGGTTGTGCTTATCGAAAGTGTTTGTCATTATATACATTCACATAACTAAATTGTGTGATGCTTTGTCGTTTTGAACTGCTGGAGAATAATTGATACACTTGTTATTTATAATGGATAATAATGGTTTGAGTTTTGGTGGCATGAGCTTTCTGAAGTTGCCATGGAGTTCTTTCACCTTTGCCTTTCTACCATAAGCTTATCACTATCCTGCCATCAGATCAATTTCCCCTTTAGAAAGATAATACTCTTCTGTCCCCTTACTTTGATTAGTTAGCTACAGTTAGTTCAGGATTGGGCCAATGATTTACCTGTTATTGGATGTAATATACCCTAATAATTGATATTGGTTATGCAGGAGCCAGAGAATATTGTTTTTCATATGGTGACCGATTCTCTCAACCTCCCAGCAATTTCAATGTGGTTTTTATTAAATCCTCCTGGCAAGGCTACAATTCATATTCAGAGCATAGAAAATTTTAATTGGTTGTCCACCAAGTATAATTCAACATTGAGGGAACAAAAGTCCTATGATCCAAGATATACTTCTTTGCTTAACCATCTTCGGTTCTATCTGCCAGACATCTTTCCAGCACTGAATAAGATTGTGTTTTTTGATCATGATGTGGTAGTGCAAAGAGATTTAACTGGAATTTGGAGTGTTGACATGAAGGGGAAAGTAAATGCAGCAGTTGAAACTTGTCTGGAAAGTGAAGCTTCATTTCGTGCGATGCATATGTTTATGAACTTTTCAGACCCATTTTTGGCTAAGAGTTTTAATGCCAATGTTTGCACATGGGCATTTGGCATGAATTTGTTTGATCTCCAAGAATGGAGAAGAAAAAATTTAACCACGCTCTATCGTAATTACTTGCAACTGGTATGGACTTGTACTTTCCTTTCTTTATATTTTCATTTGCTCAATGCTAATATAATATGCTTGTGAATTTATTTTGATTCATTGTTCTCTGAAGGTGCACATTAATTCCTTGAAAAAATGGTTAATGTTATCAGGTGAATTAGCTTATCTTTGTCAATTGGAATTTGTTATTACCTGGAGCAAATGAGATTTAACCAAAAGTTTATCTGTCTAAATTTTCAATATAGATCATCTTTCTTACTTAGTTTCCTGTATTCCCAAGAGGGTTCTCTTTCTGTCTTTGTCTTTGTCTGACCTGTGAATGATATACAAACATAACTTGTACGGTTATTTGGAACTTATTCAACCCTAAAAATCAGTATCATCTTGTAGGTAGTGTAAATGCTCTCATTTAGGTATATTCATACTAGTTTCTATTTGAAGTATTTTGCATGCTGTATATCTGCTTCTAACATGTTTTAATGGTACTTTATATTTTATTTCAATTTGAAGTTCTGGAAATAAATTTTTATGAATGTGAAACTTGTGCCCTGTGCATCACGAGTTTGATACCAATTGTTTGCTTCCAGATGTGTCCATAATAAAATTTTTAAATGACATCATTGCTTGTTTTCCTTTCTAGTGCTGTGTTGTTCTATTCTGATGAATCTATAAGAATGCTAATTCAAAGCTGCTTGTCAATATTTATTATGAACTCTTTGCACGTTTAAATATTAACTATGTTTCCTAGTAGGTATCCAAGCTATTGCGTGCTGTATATTTACCAATGCTTGTTTGCCTGGTGTTTTGTTACAGGGATTTAAGAGGACATTGTGGAAGGCAGGAAGCTTGCCCTTAGGTTGGATTACCTTCTACAACCAGACTGTGGCTTTAGAAAAGAGATGGCATGCACTTGGGCTAGGTTATAACTCAGGTCTTGGGCAGGGTGATATTGAGCATGCAGCAGTTTTACACTATGATGGAGTCATGAAACCCTGGTTGGAAATAGGAGTTGCTAAATATAAGGGCTATTGGAGCAAACATCTGCAGTATGACCATCCTTACTTACAACAGTGCAATATCCATGGGTGATTAGCGTTCAAGTGGAATTCTTTGATTCATGCCACATTTCTAGTTGCATCTCCCAGAAACTGCTCCTATTGATCTGATTCTTTAACAATCTTTCATGTAAATGTCAACTCATTTTTCCCATATTGTCCTGCCCTTATGTTTTAGGGGTTGAGTCAATTTATGGCAATAACCAAAGGTAATAAGTTTCTGTTGGGAATGCTGTATTGCAGGTGTACATTTGTACGTAACTGATATCACAATTCCCCTAGATTCAAGAATACATATTCTTGAAATAAGAGGGGAAACATATAAACTTTTATTGATCGGATAGTTAATTAGTTTAAGATTAGTTTAACATATAAACTTATAAATTAGTTTAAGATTAAATCTGAAACATAATTCAAAGATAGAATATTTGAATCTGAGCATACGCAGTTGCCGATATTTTTTGTACGGAAAATAGTTTAAGATTGTTGTTGTGAACCAAGAAAATAATTTTTTAAGTTAGGTCTAAGTTAGGTTCAAGGCCCGTTATTTTCCCTTGTCATGACTTACGACCAAAGGACGCTCTTGGGTTCAATCTTTGTTTACAGACAGATGACACGTGGACGAATTGGTTGGGCCTATTTGGATAGGGGATCTGAAAGGAGGAGCTACCTATCAGTCTGGCGTGATTCTTGACCAACGGTATTAATCTGTAAAATTCTTTACGACGTATATGAAATGAAATAAACTGGTACTCTTTGGATCAACTGCCATTGTAGCAAGATCACTCTACTGTAGCTGTTTGCTTTCTCCTAATTGGAAAAGGAATATGGCAACCATCTCTGCTAGCACCCCTACCTCATCAATCACCCATGCAGCTATTGCACACAGGCCATCACCGAGGGTTGCATCCCCTGTTGCCGTTGGTAATTTTCAAGGATTTCTTCTTCTTTTTTTTTTTTCATTCTGTCTAAAAGAAAAATATCATTTTCATTTTTCGTTTTCACCTCAACTGCAAATTTTGCTTCCAGGGTTGCCAACAACGGCAAAGAAGGGGAAAGTGATGTGTTTCACGGAGAATAAGTCTTTTGCACATAAAAATATTTGAGAACATCACAGCTTTGATATTACTTGTTAGACTAAAAAAATCATAATCTTAATCCCTTTGGTTTTAGCAACAACCTTCTTGGCTGGATCCTTTTTGGTGTATTCGGCCTGATTTGGGCACTTTACTTTGTTTACACTTCCTCCCTTGAAGAGGATGAGGAGTCGAGATTGTCACTCTAAGCCAAACCTTATTTCTTTTTGGTGTTGTTAATTGCAAATATCAAGTTCAAAGGAATGTAGAAAATCAGAGTTTGGCTTTCCTATCTTGTAGTAAAACTGCCTTCTGCATGCCCAATGTGTATTCTTATATATATATATATATATATATATATATATATATTACTAATGTTTCTCTTTAAAAATTTTATAATTTCCTTGTCTATCTGTTGTTTCTTCATCGATGCTTGATTTGATTAAGATGAAGATGGATATAGGACAGAAACAACAGGGAATTTGGGAGCCTCTACCCTGTTTATACTTGCTGTCTACAATGGCATATTTCATCAATTGGTAGCTTTACTTTTAAGCTACCAATGGCTCAGGCACCGCAATCAATTCATTTAGGCAAGAAAAGAAGATTTTAGTTCTCCTCCTATTATTTACTAGTGAAATTGGATCTTAAGAAAGATCTCGTGAGAATAATTATAAAATTTTGATTCCTTTAACTGTAATCACAACATTTAAATCGAAATAATATTTATCAATAAAAAAATTTAATTATCTAATAGAAATATTTAAAACAAAATCTACATTATGAATTAAGATTTTATGATCATGGTTTAACCTACATTAATATTCCGTAATAATTTTCACATGATCAAGACCTCCCGGCTGTGGAGTTTAAAAATTTCATAAAAGGTGTATCGGAAAAACATTCTTAATTAATATCTTCGATCGCAATTCACACCCCTGAGGCCCTATCAGAAACTATGATTCACTATTGGCCCACCAATGGCTCATATTAAAATTTAGGCCCAAATCGCCCGTCGTGTAACTTTCGCTATGGTCTGTTACTGAACTTAAATGGCTATCTCTAAGTAGCTCCGCTTGATCTTTTGTTTGTCGAGCGATTTCGAAAGCTTTTCCTTATCAGTTACCTTTATCTACGGCGCCCAACCTTAAGAACCCAAAGGTGCCTTCTCTTTCTTTTGGCGTGCGGTACGTTAGGTTTCCTTTTTTATTTTCTTCTTTTTTTTACTTTCAAGTCTCTAAGTCTGATTTTTTTTTTTTACTTTATTGCCGACCACATATTCGGAATAATGTCTCAAACTAGTGTTTAATAACTGACATTTGCTTTTGGTTTGATTCTCAGATTTATGACATTTTAAATCTTTGAAGACGGCCAAAAAAAAAAATTTCTATCTAAACTTTAATCGAGCACACTTTGCGGTTACCACTTACCACCCCATCTTCTTCACCTTCCTTCCCTTTTCTTGGGTAGGGTTTGTAGTATTATATCTTCCGACGTTGATTGAAGGGTCATTTGGTTTTTCTTAAGTGTTTTTGTCCAACTATGCTTTGACAATGATTGATGATGTTTGTAAATTGTAATGTCGGTTATTGCGAACTTGGGACTCTGTATGTCAGTATATGACATCAAGTCAATTTAGGGTGGCTTTATCTTATTGCTTTTCACTTTTAACGTATTGCTATTATTTTTGTATGCAATTGCTGTAAGCTAGACTAATGATTCAATTTCTTGTTCTCTGCAGTCTCTGAAGTTTGACAATCTTGTTATTGCTGTTGTGGTAGGTGGAGTTCAGAGTGATCGTTTTTCGTCCATTTGTTGGTGAGTTTGTTGTTGCAAAACTTAAAGAATCTGATGCTAATGGCTTGCACTGTATGTCTGAAAAAAAGTACTTGTCTACTTATTTGATTCTGGTTGTGTGTTCTATAAGTATCCATATTTATATTTTCCTTTTTCCTTTAGAATAAACACTGTGCTTTATCATTTGTATGTTGGAGCCAAGAATAGCATTCTGGTTTAATAACTAATTCAAATTGATGCGTTAACTCAACCTGTTTTTAATCATATATTCTCTTTGTGGCTAGTTCAAGGCAAAATGAATCGGTCGAGAAAACATTTCTTTCCATTTATACAAGAAGTTTGTGGATGGTGTATGGAGCACATCTTTGTTCCTCATCAATGAATTTAGAACGTTACAGCTTGAGTTAAGGCAATGCAATGTTTAGATTGTCCAATTTGTATGTTTCTTGTTGCATTTAGTTGCATAGGACTCGATCTATAAGGAAAATACTGATGTAAAGAAAATAATAAATGACATAAAGATAATAAAACACTAATGTGCTTCTTAACTATTTTGAGGATTGCAGAAATCAAGGTAGATGGATATGGAATTTTGGAGGAACAGAAGAAGAACAGTTGGAAGAATCATGATTTATTATTGATGGGACAGATCAGGTATGTCTTATTATATTGTTGCAAATTTCCATAAACTTCTGATGTATACGTTTACACTGACTTCAGATTTTCTGAATCCCAGATTAAACTTCATAGTGTTACTTATCCTTCTGTACCACTTGAAAATACAGAAATTTGAAACCATTTGCCCCAATGGTGATTCTGGAAGTTCATCTTTCAAATTTGTTTCATCATTGTCTGTCTGTAGCATTAGGTCTCTCTCTCTCTCTAAAAGTTTTCTAGGTTAATATTATGTTGTTTTATTTTATATAAATCATGCTAAAGTATATCTTCTGTTATGAAAACCAGCTTTGCACATAACACAAGAAGGGAGGATTTTCATTTTCATGTAATAAGGCTCATTTGTTCTTCCTCTTTAGATCATGGCTTAATCAGACCTTGAATTCTTTGATCCCTCATCTGTAGTGAAACATGAATAGTCCCTTTCAGTCTTCTCCCTTCTTCCACATTCTTCAATTCCTAAGGTTTGGTTTATAATATATGTTGACAAACATCCCCCCCAAAAAAAGGGTAACACCCCCCCCCCCTCTTGGCACTACATTTCCTCCTAACAACTAGAGATCAATAAGTTATAGGTTTATGTACCTCCTAAAAGTACAAAAGGTTCAGTTATATGATTAAAATATAATTTTTTTTAATCGCATTTGTTTTATTGCAGGGATCAATAGACTATATGATGGTTTGGGCCCAGTTTCATAGTGGGAGGACGCAGAAATGGTTCAGGAAGAACTTTAAGTTAACAGACAAATTAGCTAGCCTTACATATCAGTAAATGGAAGGACAACTGAGGCTTTTCGTAGGTTGGAGATGATTGTAACTACTTCAAAAGGCAGCAGAAATGATATTTTTCAAAGCTTGCAATAGCCGGCGGCAGTGGGTTTTTTCGTGCTTCTTCCTACAGATTACGGGGTGATTTGGATGCCACCGTACCCCCAGTTGAGCTCTATGGAACATTGTGCCAAATTCATTGATGCAATGTTTGGATGAAAATGTTGAGGCGTGATAGCCTCTAGTTACCCACTGGAGATAAAAGCTTCGGTAGAAATTGATACGTTACATTTCCACCGCACCTTTTGTCTCAATTTTGCCCATAATTTTTTTAATTTCTTTCCTTTCTACTTTTAAAGTTGTAAAAGTTGTAGAGATTTTCATATCATTTAATCTTTCGATATTTTATTTTTTTTCAGTTTGATTTTTTATTTAAAAATTTTAAAATAATTTTGTTAATTTAATATAATAAATAAATTTTATTATATGGTAAATAAATAATATAAAAAATAATTTATTAATATACTTTTAGAATAAAGTTTTTAATGATAATTTTTTATTCTCTTATCAGTACCGTTATTTTATTATATAAACATATATTTCACCATCATTAATTTTATCATTCGCCTAAATAAATCTTCCATCTTCTCTATGAGCGTGGAGATTATTGCGTCAACTCAACCATAAAATTTATATGAACGGACATGCTAACGTTAACATACAAAACCTTGAAATTGTTGTTTGTGACAATTTTGGTGAGTATCTACACCTCTTTTGTTTGCATAAAAAATTGAATGGCTCGACTTTGATGTTATCAATTTTAATTTTGCCTCAATTTTTTAAAACAATTTGAATTGTGGGATGTATTGGAGAGAACAATTTCCCATAAAGTTTGATTTTACAAAGAAAAAAGAAAGAAAATCATAGTCCGCAAAGCGAAACGGACCCAAGGTCAACTCCTTCCTCCGCCGCAAATCGTCTCGACTAATATATATTTAATAGCCGGACCCACCCGCTTACAACATCGTCCAAGATATCCACGCCCGGGTCAAAGCAAAGCATAAGCTATATTTACTCAAAGGCAGAGACGTTAACCCGAAAAGAGAAAAAAGACGGCCACCACTTCTTTTACAGCTCCCAAACTCTCTGCCCCAACTCTCCAAACCCTCGGCGAAACCTTCCTTCTGTCCCTTTACCCAACACCCTTTCTTCTTTTCCACGCCGCTTTTCTCCCTTTATCTCTCGCTTTCCCCACCACCATCACCACCACCTCCGGTTGCGGCGCTGCCGTCTCTTCTCGGTTCGTGCCAAGTCCGAGAATGGCGCTGAACCGCTGCGACAATACGACTTCGACCTCTTTACTATCGACGGCGGCAGTGACGGCTTTCGTGCTTCTCGTTTCGCAGCCAATTTTGGTGCTTCTGGTGCTGTCTGTGAGCTTCCGTTTTCGACTATTTCTTCTGAGACCACCGGCGGTGTTGGCGGGACGTAAGTCTGTGGAGTATTAGGGACTTATTTTAATGTGACTTGATATCTATAAATTACTTGTTTTGTGTGTAAAGATGGTTTTTCTGAAGAAATTAGGATTTTTGTAGTTTATTGCACATTGGATTATCCATTAGAACTGCATGTGTTTTTTTTTTTTGCCTTTTGGGTTCTAAGGAATTTTTTCTTTTTCTTTTTTTTTTCTTGGCTTTTACTTGAAATTTACAATCTTAACTGGCTAAAGTTATGGTTTTTAGTCTCAAGTTCAATATCCAATGCTCTCGGCAATGTAAAGATAATTCAAGAAAGTCATCTATTGGTTACATATTTGGTTTCACCGTTATCAATGTCATTGTTTTTGGTCCGTGTTTACTTGAGGTTGTAAAATCAAAATTTGTGTATAATTGCAGATGCGTACTTAGAGGATGTATACCGAAGAAGCTAATGGTTTATGCGTCAAAATATTCTCATGAATTTGATGAGAGTAATGGTTTTGGATGGAAATATGACACTGAACCAAGGCATGATTGGAGCACCTTGATGGTTAATAAAAATGCTGAGTTACAGCGTCTTACTGGTATTTACAAGAACATTCTAAAAAATGCTGGTGTCACACTAATTGAAGGCCGTGGAAAGGTAGGATGATCCTCTCTCCACATTGTCTCTTTCTGATATGTGTTAATGCATTTGTATTTTTAATGGTTCTTGGTTGTGAATCCATTTTGATGATATTCCCTGCAGATATTGGATCCACACACTGTTGATGTAGATGGTAAACTTTAAACTGCAAGGCATATACTGATTTCAGTTGGTGGACGCCCATTTATTCCTGAGATTCCAGGAAGTGAATATGCGATAGATTCTGATGCTGCCCTTGATTTGCCCTCAAAACCAGAGAAAGTTGCTATAGTTGGTGGGGGATACATAGCTTTGGAATTTGCTGGCATTCTGAATGGATTGAAAAGCGAGGTCCATGTATTTATACGTCAGAAAAAAGTTTTACAGGGTTTTGTTGAAGAGGTGAAGAATTTTACAAACTGATAGCTGCTTTAGTTTATTTTATCATGTTATAGTAATTTGAATGATACTTTTTTAGAAATTTTGTTATTCTTAGTAAAAACTCTGCCCTGTTTATAGATCAGGGATTTTGTTGGAGAGCAAATGTCTCTACAAGGAATTGAGTTTCATACAGAGGAGTCACCTCAGGCAATTTTTAAGTCAGCTGATGGTTCATTGTCTCTGAAGACCAACAAAGGAACATTTGAAAGCTTTTCACATGTAATGTTTGCAACTGGTCGAAGGCCTAATACAAAGGTTTGGAATAATTTTTTTTTACTCAATTCTCTCTAGTAAATGTCCTTTGGGTAACCAATTACCTACAAAAAAGCTACCACATCAAACATGGTTGTAACTATACTAAAGAAAACATCCCACCAGAGAAACAGGACATAAAGGAGAAAAGTTAACAACCAGGTATTAGAACCCTTATCGTCAAATGTAATCAAACTTCTTCATTGCCTGATTCTCTTCATATTGTGACTTAAGGAACCTTAAACGTTTTGTATGTAGAGGATGTGAATTTGCTCCTTTTAATGGCAACTTCATTTTTTTATGTAAATCAAGATAGATTTGATGAATTTTCTATTTGGTTTAACATTAACTCCTACTACATTGCAGAACTTAGGATTGGAGACAGTGGGGGTGAAAATGAACAAGAATGGAGCAATAGAGGTAGTGCTCTTATTATCTTGGAATTAATTTTGCTTCATTTTCTCTATTTTCTGTTTTCCGGTACTATTTTGGTTAATTTCTATGTTTTCTTGCCTCATTGTTTCTTTAGGTTGATGAATACTTGCGTACCACAGTACCTTCCATTTGGGCCGTAGGGGATGTCACAGATAGAATAAATTTGACACCTGTTGCATTGATAGAAGGAGGAGCAGGAGCATTAGCAAAAACACTGTTTCAGAATGAACCAACTAAACCTGATTTTAGGTAATCTACACACTAGAGATTGATTGATTGAAAAAAAATTTAAGGATTAGGTAAAATTGGAAAGGGCTTATGACTCTTTTTTTGCTTCTACTGAATACCGATTGAGGCAGTTGCACCACCTTCCTATTGGAAAAACCATTTCTAGTGTCTGGTTACAATTTCAAAGGTATAGATTCATATATCCCATTTTTCTTTTTTTTTCTTCTCTTTCAACAAACCTCCATTCCAGGTCTCTGTCCTTCTTATCTCTCTTGTTGGTCACGCATATGCCAGGCTTCTTTTTCCCCTTGCTCTATTTTTTCATGTTTCTTTTTTCTAAACATTTCTTTCCAAAACCCGTCACTGCTGCCCAATTATGGTAACCCTGTCTGCCCACTCCACTGGTTCATTATTATTTTGTACTTCTGTTGTTTAAATTTATTGGATTTTATGTTTGGGGTGGCTGAGGTTGTTTTTTGGATTTATTTGGTGATGGTTGGGGGTGGATTGGGTGCTTTAAAGGATCGAATGTTTGGTTAGAGAAATCTTCTAGAAAACAGTATAATCTACATCTGTTTTAACACCACTCATCCAATAGTGCCTTGGAAATTACCCAGTTAGAGATATAATGGAGGGAAGCCAGACTCCAATCTTGCTTGTTGTCAAGTGACACTTATTAATGAATCATATTTGATCCCTGGATTGAGACCCACTTATAATATAGTATCGTATTCAAATAAAGGAAGGCATAATATTGTTAATTAACCGCATTTTGATTCAATGACCATTCAGCAGACAAGTTATACGGTGTCTTCTTCCTTTTTGATATGATGTTTGGGTGGTTTTGTGATACAAAGAAGTGGATTTTATGTCATATTCAATTGCTTTTTGGCTTTTCTTCCCATGCATTTTGGAATAGGGCTGTACCCTCTGCCGTCTTTTCCCAGCCACCAATTGGACAAGTTGGTCTTACTGAAGAACAGGTGAGGAACTGTTTGGCGTATTAGCAGCAGCTGAAAGTGGTTAATTGTGCTCAATAATTCAAGGATTTTACAGGCTATAAAAGAGTATGGTGATATTGATGTCTACACAGCAAACTTCAGGCCATTGAAGGCCACTCTCTCAGGGCTTCCTGATCGGGTTTTCATGAAACTTATAGTCTGTGCAAAGACAAGCAAAGTTCTTGGTCTACACATGTGTGGAGCAGATTCAGCAGAACTTGTGCAGGTTCAAGGTTTTACCTAAATTGGTGCTTTCAATTTCAGGTTCTGCAGTTTTTTCTGATCTGTGCAATTGTTTTCCAGGGATTTGCAGTTGCTGTGAAAGCTGGCTTGACAAAAGCAGATTTTGATGCCACAGTGGGTATTCATCCAACATCAGCTGAGGAGTTTGTCACAATGAGGACTCCTACCAGGAAAATACAAGGGAGCCCCGAGTCCGAGGTTTGTTGTAGTTTTTAGCCTTCTGCATTGATACTTGTGTAGTTGTGTTCTAATGTGTTTAATTATTATTTCTAATATCATAACTGAAAATCACTGAAGTTCAACAAGATTACCGGGTGACTGACAATTCCTTTACCATACAAGCAAAACTTAATTTCCTTGCAGCTACTGACCAAGTTAACATATCCTGTTAACCTATTGATTTCCAAGCTGCTGTCTTCTGTTAGTTTTTGTCTAGGACTAACTTATTTTCAAATGGTTTATTGCTTTGAGTTTATTTTTGTGCAATCCTGTGTTTTAAAGCATTCTGATACTTACTAATAATCATTTTTCATTTATGCAATCAATAATGTTATTCCAATTTCTTCATCACTGCCCAAATTGAGTTCCGGTACTTTTTTTACCATGTCACACAGGGAAAGTTGGGTCTTTGAGGCAAAAGCTGCAGCAGGGGTTTAGCAAGAGTAATTGATTGGCTGCAGACTATGGGGGTTCCACTTAAGGTGCAAACAATTTGATATGATGTTCTTATGACTTGTCCAAAATGACTGTTTGCTTTGAGTTCTTATTATTCCTATCTAACATGAGGAAAACATGGAAAGGTATTAATGACAATCCTAGATAACTGCTGAGCTCTTTCTGGATAAATTGTTTCCCTTTTTTTATTTTTTTTTTGGGGGGGGGGGGGGGGGGAGGTGGGTGTTGATAGGATAAATTGATTAATTTTTTATGTTAGAGATAAACTTCTGGGTAGTGCTGCAAAACCCTCCGGCTGTGTATGCAAAAAAGCTTGATCATATAAATTATTTTGCCAACTTTAAAATCAAGTGAAATAACTGTTGTGTTCTTGCTGTAAGTAGTTGTTCCTTGCTTATTCCCTCTCGGGGTTTTCTTCCCTTAAACCAAACTTTCTGGTCGTCTAATCATTTGGAGCAATATGGCAGGCTGGGCTACCGGCGTATAGCTGATGGATCTCAGATTTTGACTCGCGATGGTTGATGATGATGTGGAGCAAAGCTGCAGAAGGAGATTTTCAAAAGCAATGACAAAGGATCCCCCATTGAAAGAATTTCTCCATTTTGCACTAAATGATGCAGTTTTACAAAATTATTCTTTTTTTTTTTTTTTTCTGTACACTATCCCTTCACTTTTTGAGATGATAGTAGTAGTAATCTTTGATTTTTCTAAGCATGCAAATCTCACCCGATGTCTTAACTTACAAGTTAAAATTCGTCAATAATTTTTTTGAAGAGTCTCAATCATAATAGAGTCCTAGTACTACTAAATTTGTCCAATTCGGAAGTCTTTTCGCGTGTAAAAAGAAAAAAAAAAACTAAAAAAAGTGAAACAAAAAGTATCGTCTTTTATTGTTCAACGTTTTTGACTCTGCAGTGCCATCCATCCACCTACCCACCCACCGGGAAGAGGGTAAAACAGTAAATAAACATCATAAACCACGCTCCTCTCTTCTATTTTCTCCAGCTTTCGAAATCAGGCGCCAAACTTTGCCAGTTCTCCCGCCCCTTCACGACCAAATCCTCCCTCTCTTTATTTTCCATCTCTCTTCCTCCCACCCATACTCCCTCTCTTTCATTTCAATCATTTGTCATATCTTCATTTTCTCTCTCTCTCTTTCCCTGTCTACGCTGCCAGACAGCCATGCACCAGCCACAGTCTCACATTTCTTCATCAGCCTCCGCCGCCACTGCTGCCGCTGCAGCAGCTGCGGCATTTGACTTCAAACCACCCAAACGTCGAGGCAGTTACAACTGTGGCAGATGTGGACTTCCCAAGAAAGGCCATGTTTGCCAAGTTATCGGCACCGGCAGCAGCCCTACTTCAATTTCCACCCCAACATCAGCTCCAGCCACCGCAACTGCCACCACCGCCACCGATGCTTCCTCATCGGCAGCCCGTCCTCCTCGTCCTCCACCCCTACGTCAGCCCTACTCCCGCCTCCGACGTGCACTTTCCTTTGACGACATCGATATCCACTGCGACTCGCCGGAAAATGATTTAGATGGATATGATTCTTCCTTCCCGGGTACAGATCTGGATCCGGATAATGAGATAGTCTCCGGTGGATTACCCGCGGGGTGTCTGTGGGAGGTCTTGAGGAGATTGCCTCCTGCGGGGCTGTTGGAGGCGGCGAAGGTGTGTAAAGGGTGGAGGGAAACGACGAAGAGACTATGGAGGGCGGCGGAGGAGCTGAGACTTATGGTCCCACCTAGGGCTCACCTCAGGTTCATCGGATCAGTTTTGCAAAAATGCCCGAGTCTTGTTAGACTTTCTCTCAAGATGGAAAGGTTCTGGTCTAAACTAATCTTAGACAGATCTAGGGTTTTATGGACTGGATCGGTTGATACCGATGGAGATCTAGATAAAATCGTGAAATGAGAATTAATGTGGTTATAATTTAAAAGAAAATAATCAGCGAAATTAAGTGGAAATTGATATATAATCAAGAGCGGCATGAGAACTGCAAAACTGTGTTCGATCTAAACACTGTTTTAATAGTGCTCTTTGGGCAACATTCTGATAAAATTTTCCCGTAACTAAGAGCTAAAATCAATGCAATAATTTACAAAGGGGTTTGATTAGTGTTTCAACTAAAATTTAAACCGGAGAACTTTAAGGTCTCTATTCACTTGGAGAGATGTGTCCTAACAATTTATTTGATTGTAAGAATTTGCTTTTTATTTTTGCATTCTTTTGGGGGATTTGAGGGGTCAATGCTGCTTTTGGACTTCTGTTTCCCCCCTTACAGTAACTTTTTTCTTGTTTGGGTTTTGCAGCGATGTGGACTCAACAATGCTGGCCTGCATTGCGTTTTCTTGCCCTAATTTGGAGTCTATGGAGATTTCGAAATCGGATACAGCTGTCAATCGGATCACAGGGTATGATTTCTTTCTCGCCTCTTTTTTTTTTTTTGGTTTTTTGTAATATATGGTTAGATCTTTGAAATGGTATGCCTAGCTGCTCAGCTAATAACCTTTGTTACTCTTGATTAATGTTTGATTGCCCACCTTCAATTTTGTTGATGGACGAACTTCTTTAGATCTAGCTACTTGGCCTAAATTTATCAGTTTTTTTATCATTAAAATTATTGGATGGTTTGAGTGACTAAGGGTTATAATTCTGGTGAAATAATTTGAGATTTGTAACATGAAAATATTATAAAGTTTTGTACACCCTTTATAGATTTATTGGTCCGACTCATATTGGTTTATGTTTGTTCCTTATTGGTCGGGAACTGTCTCTTCATATTTTAGGTTGTAATGCATAACCTGTTCCTTGCTAAAATTTCTATTTATGATGGAATACTTCAATATTTTTGCCCCTGTTTTGATTTTCAAACTATTTGGTGGTTACTTTTTTTGTTATGCTTCGTGTCATATCCTGCTTATGTGTAGTTGCATGGTAAGTGGGCACAAGTTTACAAATTCCATATTAATTGATTTTGATTTGATTTCGTCAAATTTTTATGTACAGAGATGAATTGGGTCGTTTTGTTGCTGATAAGCGCTGTCTAATGAGCCTTAAGATGGAAGGATGTTCTAATTTAGGGGTTTTTGTCCTCTCTTCATCAAGTCTATCTACTCTCTGGCTTTCTGATCTTTATTCCCTCTCTAAGACGGTAACTTCTTATTATGTCTTTTTATGTTTATAAGTTTGACTTTTCTGTGGCGGTTAAGTGAATTTGTGTTTACGTGTGGCTCCTTTTAGGTTTTTAACTGTCCCAATTTGAAAGAGATATCCTTGGGATTTTCTCACCAAGAAAATGACACTACTGATCTTACTACCATGGTTGATGGTATGGGAAGAAGTTGTCCAAGGTTGCAAAACATACACATTGCCTCAATTCGGCTTTCACATGCTGTTGTTCTTTCCCTTACAGCTGCTAACTTGAGGTTTGTTGATTCTTTTGGTCTACAAGTTCATTTTAATCATGCATCATTTCTGGATCTATAGACACTGCTTTGCTTTATCAAGAATGGTAGTGGTTAAATGGACTTGCTCTGTTTAGTTTTCTAGCAATGCTGTGTTTTATTTCATGGATTTCTGCATTTGGAGGATAAATAATCACTAGTTTGATAACAGTTGTCTGTTATTCAGGGGCTTGCGAATGCTTTCGCTTGTTCTTGGCTCAGAAATCACGGATGCATCTGTTGCTGCTATTGCTTCAAGCTATTCAAGATTAGAATTACTTGATCTGAGTGGGTATGTTTTGCTACAGCTTTTATTGATTTATCCATCTATCTTGGCTGGTTCTAAAAGATTACATTTTATCAATTAATCTTCAGCACCATATTTCCTGATGCTTGCCACTTGGTTTCAGGTCTAGTATCAGTGACAGTGGCATCGGAATGATCTGCAATGTGTTTCCAAACTCATTGTCAAGACTCCTCCTTGCTCTTTGTCCTAACATCACGTCAAGTAATATTCATGTCTTAGATTCACCTATATTGCTGTCAGTAGCTATATTTACCTATAATTGTCCCATTTCATGTAAATCTATTTATTAATATGTTTGTATGTTTTTCTTAGGCGGAATTCAGTTTGCCACAGCTCAACTACCTCTTCTTGAACTTATGGATTGTGGGATGACCATATGTGATCCTGATTCCCAGAATTCACCCAGTGATGAAAGTGGCGACAATGAACTTCCAAATGCATTCAACAGTAAACTGCATCTTATGTACCAGAAGCTTATTATCAAACACAGCCGATTAAAAAAACTCAGCTTGTGGGGTTGTTCTGGCTTAGATGTGAGATCATTTAGTCCTCAATCTTGAGTATATTGCTAGTTTTTTCTTAATAACCTCTTGTGGTTCTTATTTGTGATTCTAAATGCAGGCATTATGTTTAAACTGCCCGGAACTCAATGACCTTAATCTGAACTCCTGTAAAAACTTGCATCCGGGTATATTTTTGCTAGTTTGAAATTGAACATTGTCATTTGTTAATCAGTTGATTATGCATATCTTTTTCTAATCATTATTTAATAAACTGCGTTTTCCTAGAGAGATTGCTACTTCAATGCCCAAGTTTACAAAATGTGCATGCATCAGGATGTCAGGAGTTGTTAATTGGGGCCATTAAAGGCCAGGTAAATAATTATAATTTCTTTGAGTTCCATTTTACTCTTGTTAAATCCCTCATGTGGAGCTTTATCCAATCAATCCTGTTTTCTTGGGGTGGGGGTGGGGGTGGAGGGTTGAAATCTAGTCTGCAAAGTTCATCTAATTAAATCCCCTTATTTAATCTTTGAAAACGTTGGCAGGTGAGTGATAACTTGGCTTCTGTGGAAAACCATTTTCCGTTTAAGCGTTTGGCTGATGGCTCAAAGAGGGTTCGTGCACCAAATTTTCTCAGTCAACAGGTATAGTCTATAGCAGAATTTGGTTTTAACGGAAATTCAAATCGGAATGGACTGTATTACTATACACCATCCTGACATTGCTGTACATATGATATGATTCTGGTTATTCAATAAAAAAACACAATCCTCCTTGTACTGCTAGACCCAAACCGATATGTTTAATTTGAAAGCTACAATTTGATTGATAACTGAATTTCAGAACTAAGTTGAATTTGTGAAAATGGAGGAATCATTGTTGCTGAATAAAAAAAAAAGTTCAATTCCTAATGTGAAGATTTGTTGTTTTGCAGTCAAGTGAGGATGATAAGAAACGAAGGAGGATTGTGGGACGACCGTGTAACGTGGTTGTGAACTAAAATCCCATTTCTGTTTTACCTGTGCTTTGCCCTTTAATAATATACAGGCAGCGCCGCACTGAATTGCCTTATCCTCGACAAATCATATTTCTTTTGTTTTCGAAGTACTGATTTTGTTGTAACAGAAACTCTCCAAGGCCTTGTTGGATCAATTTTTCATCTTTCAATAAAAGTTCATAATTTTATCAAAGGTCTTTTGTCTTTTATTTTATAATCAAAAGCAAATCACAGGTCCGATTAAGGATTGAGTCCAATGTTCAAGTTAAGGCATGCAAGTTGGGAGGAGAAAAGGATGATAAAAGAGTAAGTCATCCTTCCTTAACTAATACTGTAATGCAGGATTGAAAGAGAATACATGAATGAAAATTTGGATAAAAGATATTTATAGATTCATGACATGGCCCTTTTCAAGAATTCTCAGTTTATAGTGTCTAGGTGATACGGAACCATTTTTTCCCACCCCCCACCTACACCTACAGCGCCACCCCAACAAGTTCAAATATTAACAATTTCCATGAATGGAAATGCATGGATTTCGGCAGAGTCGTCAGATCCAGGATATAATCAGACAGAGAAATGTCAGTTGATCCAACTCAATTATATAAGCCCATGTTGCAGATAACTGCAAGATATTAACGTCAATCATATATTATTACTATATAATATAGGCAGTAACAGCCATGACATTCGCCAACAGCAGGGACCACTTCCCCAACCCCTCTAAGCCCTGAGCCCCCTTATCACGGTCACAGGTCAAATGCCTTATAATAACCCTCTCCGGTCTCCAGTCCCCGTTCTCCAAGCCCATTTCTTCGTTCTCACCACACCCAACCGTTTTCCCTCTTCCCTTAGCTTTCCCCATTAAATTTTTCCCTTTTTCTTAATTCAACGTCTCAAGTAAAGAATAAACGTCAAATACTACTTCTCGCATTGGACAGATAGCAATCTTTTTCACACTAAAAAACACAAAAATAAATGCGCTGACCTTAACCAATGAGCATGAGTAAATGCCCACATGATCTTGTTCCCTTGCATTTTCCATTACCAAAATTAAAGCGTCTTGGAACCTTTGCTCCTCAATTTTAATTTCTGATCAGTACTCTTAATAAACCAAAAAAAGAAAAAAGAAAATTCCCATTAAGAATAAAGCTTGAAGCAACAAATAATTATAACTACAAACCGATACATTAATAGCTACTAAACACAAGCAAAAGACAGGCCAAGTTCTTGCGACGACTTACAGTAAGATCCATTATTGTTTTTGTCCATAACAAATAGTTGAGTAGTAGTAGTGGTAGTATTAGTAGTGTAGAACTTTATATCTCACATTAATGTAATTTATTAATATAAACTCTTAACACAAAAACACCGTAATAATAATAAAGTCAACCTGCTCAATCCATCTGCTCGCTTTGCTTTTATCATTGTTTTTGACATCTGCAGCGACCACGAGATCAAAGGAGCAGATTGCACTAATTACAGCTACCATCTTCAGCTTCTGTTCTTGCATTTCTCCATGGCTCTTGGTGCTGAATTCCATAAACGTTTCCATTTTTTTGTTTAAATTTTCAATTCATTAAGGAGTACTGTACTTCCTAAACTTTTCTAATCTAATAAAGTTTTAGGAAGTGCTTAATTAATTAAATAAAATAGCAAAAGATTTTGTTTTAATTAACTCTTGCTCATATAAGCCAAAAAATATATACTAACCAAGCCCGATTGCCTCTGTTCCTTTCATTATCCGCAACCTCTTGCATGATTCAACAAACATCCTGATTTAGAAAAAAATGAGATTAGTGTTGAAATGCAATATACATAGTAAATTAATTTGGTTTCATTAATATATGAAGTTTTTCTGGAAGTTCTTATATTTCTCTCCAATTAATTTAAAAGCTCCAAAGTCCAAAGAGTAATAGTGATTTTAACTGATTAGGATAAGGAGTGAAGGATGCAGGTGTAGCTAGAGATGAACAACATACTCCCATGGGACATCACCAACAAGCATCCAGTCACCATCCCTGTCCTCATAGGTAGGAACATAATCAGAGCCGTTAAGCAGATCCATGAGCTTGCTCTCGTTCATGAAATCCCTCATTCCTTGGGATCCACAATTTCCTTCATTAATCAACAACATTTAATTAATTTTAAGACTTCGTTACTTACACATCTCATATTTATCTTAAACTGAAAAAAAAGACAAATACGTTATATTTGATTTGCACCTATCAAATTAAAGATGATTAAGTCGGATGAACGTGAGAAGTATACAAATAATATTTTTCTTAATTTTATCAATAAAAACTCATAGTATATAAGAAAATGTCAAGTGCAATATAAAAGAGAGAAAAAAATAAAAAGAAGTGCTAGCTTAATCATGATTAAATATTGTTTTACTTACGTACCAATAGTGAAAGAACTGAACATTTTGGCTAAAGCATCAGAAAGTTCCTGATAACTGTTGCACATCCTCAAGTCCACTTTACGGAGGTAAGGTGCGCCGTCCATGCTCACCTTCACCAAGGCGGCGCTGTTGCCACTGGCCTTCTCAGTACTCTCCTCGCTGCCGCTCTTTTGGGTGGCTAACATATTCTTTCGGAATGATCGGACTGGTGGCCAACCCACAACTTGCGCCCTAAAATCATAATTGAACTTTGAATTATTAAATTATATATATTCACCTTCAATTTTACATTCCCAGCACTAAAAAAAATTTTCATTATCAAATTAGATTGTGAAGTTAGAAACAATTAGTAATTAAATAAGAAAATCAATTAAAATACTGAGGGAAATTAATTTTAGTTCTGTGACATGTATTCTTAGATGATCAGTAACAAAGATTAAACTACACGGATCGATGGAACGGTAATACCTTACTTTCTCTATGTATTTTTTTAAATTAAAGTATTTAAACTTTGGTTTTGAGTATATATATATATGGTTTGTATTCCTGCATATCAATAACGGAACTGTAATCCATTATAATTGTAATTTATATCATTTATGTATATAATTTATAATTTGCATGCTTTCAAATATATAGACAGTTGGGCAATATATATAATATATATATAAAGTCATACAAAATAGTTTTATTTATACTAATTTTGGTTAAAATACTAGCTATAAATGTTAACAATTAGGAGAGCGTTACAATATATAACCAACCACATCTCATTGTGAAATGCAATAAATAAATAAGTAAAGTAGAACCCTTAAATTATAGGGTCTTCGAAGACAATTAATAATGATAATTGATAACTTTTGATTCCACTTATTGTGGATATGAATTTTTATAATTCATTTCTTTTCTGGATGATATAATTCAAGATCCATCCAAAGTTCTTCGTGATAAAACATAATTAACTTCAAAAGGGTAATTCTGTCATAACCCTAATCATCCTATTATGCACTAAAATATTTTCCAGGAAAACCTATACAAAAGCCCAAACAAGATATTGTTTTTTTAAAAGAAGGATGCAACTTACTTGGCAGGAGGCTTCGCAGGATCATTGGCACAAGGAAGAAGACTCTTCTCCTGTCGCAAACCTTTCACCTTCTCCTCATTTGGATTTATCCCAGAACTTTCTTTGGAGGAAAGGTTAAGCTTCAAATCAACAGTCTCAGAGAAGAATCTTTTCCTTATTGCCTCACCTTCTCCTCCTCCTCCTCCAGGCAACCCTAGCCTTAGCTCAGTCTCTTCAAAGCCCATTTTCACCTTCTCGCAACCACATACATGATCTCCTCCTCCTTTTCCCATCTTTAGCCCAACTTCCATAGCTTCTCTCTCTCTCTCTCTCTCTCTCTCTCTCTCTCTAATGGTTTTCGTTGCAGTTTTTGCTGCTTTGGCTTTGTGGTTTTTGAGTTGGTTTGGTACTTCGAAATGAAAGTGAAAAAAAAAAAAAAGAGTAAAAGGTTTGTAATAACAGAAGGGAGTTTGAGATATAGAGAGTAATAGAAAAAGCAACAGCGACTTAGGCTAAAAGGGGAGTGTTGGGCCTTTGGAGGCTATTAATATACGGGGGAGGTGCATTGTCGGCTTCTACTTTTGATGAACTGGGAATGGACACGTGGCAACACCTATGAGCTGGCTTATCCTAACTTGTCGGGATAGGTGACGACAAGGTTTTGTTAGCGTCCTATGATTGTGTATTTGGGTGTCGAGAGAGAGAGAGAGTAGACATTAACCCTTTTCAATTTTTTTTTTTCTTTTTAAACAATAATAATTCCCTTAATTGAGAAATAGGGATGTTGTAAATAGAAAAAGATTCATTTGAATGATTCCAATATACCCTCAATATTATCATCATCGATCTACTTCTGCATTTTCATTCATGTAGTTGATGGCTTTTTTCTAATTTTACATTCCATAATTGATAACACCATTTGCCAAAAGTGCTTAGAAACAATGACAAGAAAGCATAAGTTGGGTAATGGTTTTAACTAGTGTGTGTGGTTTCCAAAAAGAGAAAACATGAACAATAATTTGACACCCCACAATCAACTGGACGTTACTATGGCATACACAAAAGGATTCTTAGCTTTATTTCCATCTCATATCTCAAACTGCATGTACACAAGGAGGCCACGATCCCCCACCCACCATCGTCTATATATATCACAGTATATGGAATTGACGAAACTACAGTTGGTATCTTACCTTAATTACAGAAACAACAGCCAGCCAAGTATCATGAAAATGAAAAAAAAAATTTATTAGTCCAAGAAAAGTAGTAAAAGTTTTTATTAATCATGCATACCTTTCTAGATAATAAGTAAAGCTATCTTCTTGAATCGTCAACATCACCTTTTTCTATTATTAATCACCTTTTTAATCATTTTAAGTACAACATTATTTTGGGAGAATCTCATTGTCATTAATTAATTGAAGTTAGTTTTCATTCTTTTTTTTAAATCATATATATATATGAATTTAATACTTAATTTAGATTATTTATATAAATTTTTAAAAGAAGTGATATTTAATCATTTTAAAATTTAAATCATGTAATTTTTTTTATTGTTAGATTCAATGATATTTATAAACATTTTTTAAATTAATTAAAATATCAATTTAAAAAATTATTTTATTTAATGTGTTTTTTATCAAATTAAAAAAAAAACTAAATATTATCTTAATTAACAAGTGTCAACAAAACACCTGTTAACATTGCCCTGCTATTAGTAGCATCATCCCTTGACATGATTTACTAGTTTAAACAATAACCAAAAAAAAAAAAGTTTCAAACAGAATAAAACTAGTTTTTTTTTTTTTTTATCACGATGGTTGGTTGAGAAAGTGGGACCCAAGTATAAGAAAAAGCATGTGATGAGATCGATGGGTGGGGAAATTTTAGGGGACCCACAAAGTGGCCATGTGAAGTTGTTCGCTTATAGTTGCGTCATGTGTGTCGCCTATATCTCAAAATACTCAAACCCTATCCCAGGTGCGCCGCTGCAGGACATCCCACTTCCCTCCCCAATTCCTTCTTTTTTTTTTTTTTTTTTTTAAGTTTATTATTACTTATTAAAAAATTTTGTTATTTTTCATTATACCCTTAACCATAATTCCATTTACGTATTAGTTAGTACTTAAATAATGTTATTAACACTGTCTCTAAATAGATAAAAATTTAAATCAAGTTTCTCTTGTTAAATTTGTAAATGACTTTAATAAAAATAACACGATGTTTTAATACAAAATTCCACAAATTTTGTGAAAATTATAAAATTTTTAATACGTTTACATGAAAAAAATTTTTATATATTTATTTATTTTCAATTCATTTGATAATTCAATTAGAAAAATCTAATCACGTTTAATGACCTGATTGAATTTAAAGTTAATCATAAAACACACGTATCAAGAAAGAACTTCTAGCAACTTTTCTCAATCGCTATAAGCAAGAGCGAGATAATCTTCTCCAAATTAAGAAAATCTATAGTTTTGAGTGCACTAAGATTTTTTTTTTGATAAAAAAATAAAAAAAATAAATTATTTAATCTCTTATATCAAAATAAAATATATTTTATTTGATAACTTAAAACAGATAATTATAAATCGTAGTGCATTAACATTTATTGTGTAAAACTTTTACACTGGGTTTCCCGCAAAGAAATCAGAGGCAGCTTCCAGTGTTGTGTTGTGTCCATCTGAAAGTAGTTAGTCATCCCTCTTTCCTCTCCATTCTCATGTATTTTTTAAAGCATATATATATAGATCATCATTAAAACCCAATGATCATTTCTTTTTTATTTTATTTTGGGCGTTGGATAAAAAAATAATTCAATCATTATTGACCAGAGATACTGTTATTTTATTCCCTATTGGGCGGTGGTTATATATGTTCATTGAGATTAAAAAAATTAAAATTTATAGGTCAAATGGTATTGAGGGTCGGGTTAAGAAAGGAGACAAAGAGCTGAAAATATTGGTCAAAAACCAATATATGAAAGAATCTTATTGTTCTGTACCCTCTTATGTTTTTTTTTTTTCTTGTTTATCATATCATTGCACTTAATTAATGTAATCTCAGTTCAATGCTTTAAGAACGGATCCAAATTTTGATTCATGAACATAATTTTGATTCATCCATGTAAGCATATAAATGTGAATGCATGCATGCATGCATTTGTTTTATTCTTCCTATTTGATGTGGTCAGTCCGTGGAGACAAAACCCTAAAGTTCTGTTATTTAATTAATTAATCAAGAAGTTTAATATAAAGTTATGCATTTTCTTTGGACTTCGAGGGTTCGAGTCATAATATAGTAAGGATCTTTTATTGTTTATAAGTTCCGGTCATCACAATAAAGGCTTCAATAAAAGATAGAATAATGGTGAAATTTGTGGCCAATCATCTCTTGGGTGTATTTGACATAAGATAATCATCCCAAAAATTATAATGATTTATAAATACTGATTAAATTATTGTGTTTAGTAAGTGTTTTGTGATTTTATATTGGAGTTATTTTGAATCACTAATAGTGATCAAATCACTATTTTTGAAGAGTAATTTAATTTTTATTCAAAATTATGATAAATTTTTATCATCTGATAAAATGATATATAAAATTAATAGTAGTCAATATTATTGATTTAATATATGAATTAAAAATTTATTTTCTCTTAAAATTATAATTATTTTATACCATAAATTTTATATTTTAAAATTAATATTCATTGTAATAAATTCAAAAATAATTTGAGTTTTTTAATATTTTATATATAATATAATTTTTTAATTATTCTTTTATTCTGAATTTATTAGATTAGTTTTATTTCTAATTCAAATATTTTTTACATATTTTATATTAAAAAAATTGTTTACTTATCAATAAATATATTTATTAATTTATTAATTTAATAATTTTTTATTATTAAACAAATAAATTATTATATAAATTATTATCTTTAAATAATATTTAAAATATTAAATTATATAACTATTATAATACGCATGATTATTTTCATATATTTAAATAAAATAATTTTTAATTTTTAATAATATTAAATACAATGATTTCAATTACTAAATATTAATAATTATTAATCAAATAAATTAATTTTAAATAATAAATTATAAAACCACTTTAATAATAAAATTATCTTAATAATTAATTATATTATTATAATGATATTCTAAAAAATATCAAATACTATATTGTCAAGAAAACACCAACTTTTATATTAACCGTTGAAAATGTTATAGCTAAAATCGATTTATCAATAAGTAATGCGTGATTCTGATCTCAAGGGATTCACACCAAAAAAGTAGTACCAATCAGATTGACTGAGTTTGGCACCGCCGGATATCCCGTCTCGCCTTTAGGTTGCCAAAATGGACCAGTCAGATTAAACTCGTCGAGGAAGGGGCCAAAACCACAACCCCCCATGTAGGGGCTGAGAAAGTACAAGTTTGGGCCCAACCTCAGCAAGAATAATTTCCCAGTTTCTGCTATTATTAGTATCCGCATTCACTTGTGCTTGAGAACAAGTCAGAATTTTGGGGTGTTTTTGGGATGACCTTAATTTCCTATACTCGAATCGGTGCTAAAAGCTAAGCATTTTTAAAATATAGTTAATTGTTTGGTTTGATTAGCCATAAATTTGTACGTTTCTTTGTTCTTTTCTAAGAGAACGCAAATAATTGAAAGCTTAACGCATAAAAGATGCGGTTGATGCATGTAAAAATGGTCATGATCATGATGGGATGGTTGATGGAGATGGGCAGCAAAGACCAAAACCAGTAATTACAGGAACGGTTGATGGAGGAAACGGGGGAGGAAGCTGCTCTTAATGGTTTTTGGGCTTCTTCTCCATCTAGGAGTAAATTTTCAAAGCTATGGTTTCTGCCACCACTTGTGGGCGTGGGCCCACAGGCCTCTCTATCACCATCAGCAACTAAGACACCACACGTGTGTTTCGGTGATATGATAGCCTGGCACCTCTCATGTTTACCCTATGCATTTATTGCAGGCATACAGCTCGTACGCCGCTCTAACTTGTCCTATAAATTTAAAAGTTAAAAGAAAAAAAGGGTCAAAATTAAGATTATTAGTATTATATTAGATAATGTATCGATTTTTTTTTAAAATTAGTATGTATCGATATTAATTATTTTAGTATATTATTTTGATTTTTTATTTAATATAAATATATATACGAATTTATATGTAATAATACTATTAATAATTTGTAAAATAAATATATAATATTTTAAAAAATAAATAAATAAAGTTAAAAGCATAAAAAATAATATAATCAATTTATAATAATATTTTTAAATAGTTAATCTAATTATATGATATTTAAATTAATATTTTTGTGTAAAATATAATAAAATAAAAATAAAGAGATAAAAAAATCTTGACTTTATGATTGTTAATTTTTAGAAAGAAAAAGGTTTTTTTTTTTAAGAAATCTAAATATTTATAAATTTTAATTTAAAAAAAAATAAATTATAAAATATATTTCACGTTTATGTATAAATTAAAACGAGCAAAGTCACTAAAGTTCATCGAAGCTAATCTAAACCAACCAAACCAATAAATATTATTTAATTCTAAATCTAATACAAAAAAATACCCTTAAGCACATCATATTTTAATATTACTGACTGGATTGATATCAAAACAAAATTAATAATATTGGTAAAAACAACACAACTCTAATAAGTCCTAAAAGATAAGTATTATTTGATTTTAAATCTAATACAAAAAAATCAGCTTTAAGCATATCATATTTTAATATTATTGACTAGGTTAATATTAAAATAAAATTAACAACGTTGATAAAAACAACACAACTCTAATAAGTCCTAAAAGATATGGATGATGTGTTTAAATATAGGGATAATTTGTTTTGTCTTAATTATTTGGCTTATATGCATCTTTAAACTCTTAGAGTGTGTTTAGTTCGAAAGAATTTATAAAATTTTTCTCAAAATTTTGATGATCGGTATTTATTTTTCACATTTGATTTAGAGTAATCAGATTACAAAAGAAAATATCAAATTTTCAACAGCATCAAAAGTTTTGAAATTAAAAATGCACTTCTTTTTATGATATTTTAAGATTCTGAAGAAAAAAATTATTTTATTTTCAAATTTAACTTAAATAAAAAATTAATTACGTATCCATTATCATTTTAAAAAATAAGTCTGAAACTCAATTGTAGCTTTTTTATAAAAATTTACTTTATTTTTAATTCAGTTTTAATATGTGATAATTAAGGAAAAATATTTTAATTAATTAAAACATTTTTCCTTGAAACACCTTAATTGATTATCAATTAAGGTGATAATTGATGTTAAAAAAACCCCTTAATTGATATATAACTAAGGTGTTTCCTTTAAACAAATACTTTAATTGATACTTTTTTCAGAATATTTATAAAAGTATCAGATAGGGCATTTTTTTAACAAACACCTTATTTGATCAATTCAAATAAAGCATTTTTTTTTTAAATGCCTTATTTGATAGATGATTTTCAAAATTTTTACAAAAGCAAATAAGGCGTTTAACATATTTATAAAAGTAAATAAGGTATTTAACTATTTCAAATGCCATAATTGATTTTTTTTAATATTTTAATACAATAATTATGATTAGATATCTAGTTAAATGCCATAATTGGATATATTTAATTAAAAAATTAAAAAATTTCTTTTTTTTGCTGTTAAAAGCATCATTTGTAGTTGAGGTTTTTTTTTTTTTTTTTTTATTAAAACAAAATGAAAGGTTGCACATAGTTTGTCAAAGAGATTATAATAATTATACATGAATTAATAAATTAAGATTTTTTCCAATCAAATAAGTGAATTTGATTACAAAATACTTTAAAAATCAAACAAAACATTGAGTATCAAATTTTTTCGAATATCACATTTTTTTTTTAAATTCAAGATTTCACAAACCAGATGCCCTTAGCTATATCTCATTAATTTAGTAGAAATGAAAAAGACTTAGGATTAGAAGACATTGGATAAGTGGATTCTTAGATTTTAGAAAAAGTGATATTGAAGGAAAATATATAATTTTTTTTAAATTTTGTTGAATATAATATATGAAAATTTTAAGAAATATAAGATTTTTTGTTTTGTTAAACTAATGTGAGATTATTTAATAAAGTGTTTTACTATATTATTTTTTATGATACATGAATAACATGTAACACATAAATAGCATGTGAATAAACAAGTGATTGATTTAAAATTTTATTCATTTAACATGTAAATTGTTTATTTAATATTTTTGTTAAATTATTTAAATTATTTTAGATTTTATTGCATATACTATATGCAATAATAAATTTTATTATAATATATTTTTTTATATTTGTAATAAAAACCATATTTTTAATCTAAAAAACATTGTCTTCTTGAAATTTAAAAATTATAAAAAATAAATTTTTTTATAGTTTCAATAAAAATCACATTTTTCTTCTTAAAAATGTTGTTTTTATTGAATTCTGAAAATAAATTTTGTTTATCTTTTTAATAAAGGTTGCATTTTTAATATTAAAAATATTGTTTTCATTGACTTTAAAAATTCTAAAAAATAAATTTTCATACTTAAGAAAAAGCATATTTTATTTTAAAAACATTATTTTTATTGAATTCTAAAAAATATTTTTTTCATATTTTCAACAAAATTACATTTTTAATTTTTAAAATGTTGTTTTCTTTGAATTTTAAGAATTTTAAAAAATAATTTTTTTATATTTTCACCAAAAACACATTTTTATCTTAAAAATGTTGTCTTTATTAAATTTTAAAATTAAATTAAAAATAACATATAAAATTATTTCGTTTTTAAGATAAGTAATATGTAATATGAAAATACAATTAAGAAAGGACAAATAAGATAAATTTTTTACTCTATTCAAAATCTAAAAAAAATTTGAGGGAGATAAAGAGTTTTTATTTCCTACTTTCTCTTTTTTAATATTGTTAAAATTTTTAAAAAAATCTTAAGAATTACTGAATCAATTACTAAAAATAAAATTGCAACAAAAAAACTCTTATTTTACTCAAATCAAACGTCATTTACGATCATTTAAAAAGTAGTATAAAAAAAGTTTATTTGACAAACTGATCAAAAGATTCTTTAAAAATTTAGTATCTCTCGATACGATGGGAGCCGGCTGTCTAATTGAATTCTTAACTAAAGTTGACAAAACTCGAGCATCTTTAAGTTGTCGTTAACTTTTGACTATTGAGATTTTCTTTATTATTCACCTAAAAAAAAAAGAGAGATAGTCTGATAGAACATGTCAAGCTTTTCATGAATTGTAATTTGTTAATTACTTTAGACGGAAGGAAATACTGATTTTGATTTTTCTTCGTCCTAAGGATTTTCTCTTTAATATAGGGAATTTATGTTGGCAACAAAATTGTGGAAATACAAAAGGGCACAGCTACACAAATGTTAGATGGTAGGGTCTAAAGTTTAAACTGATGGCATGAAGTTGGTCCTATAGACAGACTTGGAAAATAATAATAATAATCAATGCCCTGATGATTCAAATCTGGTTGGCATTGAAAAAGGTCAGGGAACGTTCTTCTGCCTGTGGTCCTTACAATGCAATTCCAAGATAACTAAGTTGTTGTGATCATAAAGGGGTGTGCTAGCAGTCTATGAACAGAAAAATTAGTAGTGTTAGAATATGGTGCCTCAAATTCAAATGCACCTCAATTTGTCCTTCTTTCTCAAATATGAGTTGTATTTTGATGGGGTGTAGCTTAATTTGTAGATATGTTTTGGTAGCCTTAAGAAACTGGGTTTCAGTACATTGGCACCGGCGAACAGAACTGCCCCATTACCCAACAAAGCTGTCGATGAGAAAAAAGAGGATTTCAAAGTTTGGGCTGGCCAGTTCTTGAACCATCTCTAATGGGGAACAGTTCAACTGGTGCTGAAACAATAGGAGTTTAGCCTTTTTATTACTAATTAATTTGTGATTTTATTTTGAAAAAGCCATTGATTCTTCTTCAATTATATAATTGGAGGATGAGTTAGGTTGAGTTGAGAAAAATTCTTGTCCCACTTGAACTTTACAAATCCCATGCTAAATGCACTGATCTTTTGCTTCATGTAAAAGTGCCCTTTTTCTACAGTTCATATCAAATATTGCTAACTGATTTGCATCTCTCATTACTTTAAGTAATTTTTATAGATATATACAAAGGAACTAGTTGATCCTAGTGCTTGAAATTTTGTTATACATCACTCCATCTCTTTCAAATCACTCACTGAATTTTGTGAAGATATTAGCATTAATTGTTCCATCTCAAATTTGTGAAGCAGCTTAGCCGGCATTTTCCATCAGTTGCATACTTGCCATTAGACTCAACTAACCTTAAAGGCTTAAAGACTTCACTATAATTAAGGCAGTAGATATGCTAATCCTATTTCTTTTGTGCATGTTAGTATTTAATGTATGTAATGTAATATTGCTAGAATTTGCTTCTTGCGAGTTAGAAAAGAAATAGGCATAGGATAAAAAATTTCGCTGCTATTTACTTTTGAATAATGATGATTTTTTTAAAAAGTTTTATATTCATCTGTAAAAATTTGATTTTTTTCATCCACAATCTTTTAAATTTATTTCAAATTCATCCCTTCATCGATATTATGTAAAAACTTGGATGGAATTTGTCATGTATATGTGTACAATATTTCATCCATGTTTCTTTCAAGTTTTTAAGGATCCATCTTCGAACTAGGGGAATAATAAAATTTGTATACCCTTCCGAAGAACAAGGAAAAGAGAAGGAAAATGGAAGAAAGTGGGAAAGAAAAAAACGAGTAAAGAATAGATGAAAAAGAGGTGACATTTGCCGCATGACATTTCACATGTCATGTACAACCTAAAAGGGCCCAACAATTAAATAAGGGTCCCACTGTTCTCAACTCACATGTAATTTCCTTACCAATCAACGACATCCACGTGGGACCTTTTTCACATGGGGCTGTTACCATCACCTGCTCCCCCTCCTGATCCAACGTTCCTGGTTTCACTCTCCAAATCCTCTCAAAACCCTCATCTTAGCCGTCCACTCTGGTCCACAGTCTTCAATAACATCAGCTGTGCTTGTCCCTCATTTGTCCCCTTCACTTGGGGCACCTAAGCTCAACGCAGCCCCACATGTGACAGGCAGCCATATCTGTCGCTGTTTCGGATCAAACCCACGCTCTTCGCTCCACGCGTTCCCTGGGGGGTCCTACGGAAGGAACCAAGATGATTCGGCATCGAGCAAGCGCGTATAACATCGCATGCGTGGTATTATCATTTCTCACCTAGAGGCTAGAGTTTCGTCCAACAATTTCTCCCCTATAAAACTAGTCCCGCTTCGCATCTTTTTCATCAACATACATGCTTTGTTTATCACTTCGGCAAACACAATAAGGAATCTGCAAAAGATAAATCCTCTAGTTCTTTTCTTTTTTGAACAAGATTGCATATTCAAGGAATATTAATCTTCAGGTTGTGAAATTATATATCGTTCGGGAATATTATATACAATGGTAGCAATGGAAAGGAGAGTGAATTACGAGAATGATCTCAACCTCAAGGCAACGGAGCTCAGATTGGGATTGCCCGGTAGTGATGAGCCTGAGAGACAATCGACTCCTAGTATCAGAAATAATAAGAGAACTTCATCTGAGATTTCTGAGGAGTTAAGATCTAAGAGCAGTTCTGGGGTGAAACAGGCTGGAAATGATGATCACCAAGACGATGCTCCTCCTACCAAGTAAGTGTGTGTGTGTGTGTGTGTGTGTGTATGACAAAACCTCCTCTAATGGAAACGTTTAGCCAAAACAAAATTAGATTATAGGGCTTGACTATATATTGGCTAGTTTTTATAGAATCTTATGAAAAATTTAATGAATTAATGCAGGGCACAAGTTGTAGGATGGCCACCAATCCGATCTTACAGGAAAAATTATTTACAAAACAAGAAAAATGAGGCTGAAGGGGCAGGGATGTATGTCAAAGTAAGCGTTGACGGAGCTCCTTACCTCAGAAAGATTGATCTCAAGATTTACAGAAGCTATCCTGAACTCCTTAAGGCTTTGGAAAACATGTTCAAGCTCACCATTGGTAAGAACCATAAACTTGAAAATTTTTTTCCCTTGACAAACCCTTTTTTTAGTGCTAGTTCTAAAGGTTTTTTAACTGCAATTTGTAGGTGCATACATAGAGAGGAAAGGCTACAACGGATCTGACTATGCTCCTACATATGAAGACAAAGATGGTGACTGGATGCTTGTTGGAGATATTCCCTGGGAGTAAGTTCTGTCTCCACAGCTAACTTTCTTTAACTTTTGATATTTCCTTTATTTTAGCAATAAACTAAATTTTTATTTCCTTTTGTATACAGAATGTTCATCTCCTCCTGCAAGAGGCTGAGAATCATACAAGGATCAGAAGCCAGAGGCTTGGGCTATGTATGAGATACACCCACAAAGAACAAATTGTTTAACAAGAAAGGAAGACAGTTTACAGGTTATTTTGTTCGGCTTGGATCGATGCAAATTCCAGAATGAAGATCAATTTGCTCTTCTTGAGAAGTGAGGCTATTTCGTACAGGAAACTTTCAGAGATTGACAAGATCATCTCTTCTTCCCTCTTTTCTAATTGAACCATGACTGGCTTTTAGCCTCCTCTATTTCAAATGTCTACGGTTCTTTATATAGAATATAGCACAAGATTAAAAGGCAGTACGAAGATAGAATACTTTATATCCAACCGTACAAATTAAGCAAATACTATTGCTTTACCATTTTTCCAGGATAAGCATATGTAACAAGAAGATTAAATGAAAGGCAAGAACTATATATTTGTGTACAGTTTTTATTTTTATGTACTATTTTGATTAGAAATTTAGAGCAAATAGATGGGATAAATATCTTCTTGGGTCTCAAAATTCTTCCACAATATTTTAGTCTCCTTATAATTGTGGGTGAGCTGATATTTCCAAATACGATTTCATGGAAACGATATCAAATCTATGTTCGTCTCCAATTCAACCTGTTTCCAGGTTTTCGACGTTGAATATTTATAACTCCTAAATGGTTCTGTTTCATTTGAAAAATTGGTTAAAATTTTTTGATGGAATAAAAAGAAACCCTTAATTTCTCACATGTGCAACAGTTTCTTTCCTGATAACAAAATTTTGGTTATCGGAGAGAAACGCTTGGTCAATAGGATTCCTTATGAATAACCACGTATTCTTAAAGTTGTCTACTCCTCCTGCTTGATTCATCATCGTAGACTTTCAGAACAGTTAACTAAGCAATATTCTACAGCAGCTGAAGGAAGTCGTGAGGGTTAGAGGAGGAAAGGAAAGAAAGAAAGAAAGAAAGAAAGGCAATCCCTTATTTTACCCAAAGAAGAAAAAAATAAAGAAAAATCAATCCCTTGATTAGTCAAAAGAAGAAAATATGTCTAGAATTCAGAACGGCGTGGACCAAAAAAAAACGTTGCTAAAACTGAGATTGAAGTTCTGTTATTTGCATAAAAATTTTCAAAGATCACAATACAAGAATAAGTTTAAACTGGTGGCTAAAAACATAAGGGGGATGCAATTCAATTAAATTTAAAAGCCATATTACGCATAAATTGATCGAAAGAATACAGATTTAGATTGTGGATCACACTTGGGATCCAATGGACAAAATAAAGCCAGTAGAATGTGGTAGAGTTTCAATATCTATCATCCAGTCCAGGTACCTTGAGAGGAGGAAAGAATGCAGGAAAAAAGAACTTTATTAAGTTATTATTTCTGCTCTTCAATTTAGATAGTATCATTTAGCCAGTGCTCATGCATAACATGCTTGCCGCATTATCAGAATAATAGTGAATCATCAATTTCTTCATGGAAGGCTACCAATGGACAAATCTATCCCACTAAGAAACATAATTAATAATATTTCAGAAATTGAAAAAGTCATATAAGAGCAGATAAAACTAGATTTTGCACAAGATGCAATATTTTACAAACAGAATATACATCTGAAAGGACAAAAACTTCCTCATGCAAAGTGTGAGCACCATGTCAAGGTTAATCATCTTATAGCAACATCATAAATACAGTTGTATAAACCATTAGAAAGGCATGAGATCATCACCAGCCATGGAAGCATGCATCCTTTCATCCTCATCTTGAAGAGAGCTTATTCTAGAATCTAGTATTGCCAATTGGGACTTCACCCAGCGTGGATTATTCCTACCTTCAACCCACAGAGCTTCCCCGGTATCCTTGTGCTTAAAATCTGGAGATTTTGGGCTCCTCTGTACATCAAGGAAACAACACCATGTAAACAGTTAACACAAAGTGCTCGCAAAAGTTTTCAATAGTAAAGCATTTAATTATGTTGGTTCAATTGTGCCATAATCATAAAATATGTAACTCATCCAGAGTGATAACTATATTATTCAGTCAGGAAAGCAAATTCTTATTTTGACTCAAAAGCTTCTTTGATTAGTTTTTACGAAATTCTAATATGATCTTGATGCATGTCAAGCATTGACAATACACTAACTACAGCCTAGTTCGTTTAATGGCATTCAATTCTAAAGGTAGAATATGTACATACAAAAGCACACAACCACATCAAATATAATATAATGCACTTCTGAATTCAAAATGAGACAGAACATCTACCTTGTTCTTCCGATTATCCCACCATTCTGTAGGATTGGCGAAAAAAGCTTGCCATAGTTCCACAGTAGAGCCCATATTATTCGCACAATTGTTACCAAATTTCCTATCTGCCATAATCAAATCCAAGGAAAAAAAAATACAAAAAATCATATTGCTAATTATGCAGAATGAGTTTCAGCCACTCAGGAAATATGACTTACTTGACATCCCACTAAAGCCACGATCATATGAAGCCGCTGAGGAGGAGTTCCTTTGGACAAAATTTATTTGTTGGACAACTATCTATAATGTGATACCAAAATAATGAAAAACAATAAGAATAAAATTTAAAATTTCAATGAGCGAAGAAAAAAAAAGGGTTATAGCAATTGTGAGGACCTTGCCATAAGTCTGCTGTTTGCCATCGTCACTTTCAACCGTATCCAAAACCAGACGACCACAAACATATATCTGTTGCCCTTTCTCGACATGCTGATACGCAGTATTCGCCAGCTCATCCCAGAATGTCAAATTAATCCTAACCATTTTTTAAAAATATGTAGATAAACAGAATGACAAATATGGGTAACAAAGGCACAATTTTAGGGCTAAATTTTCATTTATTCCCTAAAAGAGCATATAAAAAAAAAAATTTACCATGTGGTGTCGGTAGGGGATTTTTTTACGGCAAGTCGGGTCCAGGCGACGACATTACCGGAAGGCAAGTGCTTGATTTCAATGGGGGCGCCGACATTGCCAATGAGGTGCACCGTGTTACAGAGGTCCTTGCACCATGGGATTTCTGAGGGTTTTGGATACGATACTTGAAGGTTGTAGTTTTAGTCTCTGTCATCGACGGAGCATTTCAGAGTTCGAAAGGAACGGGGTCGTTTAATGAGGATGAGAGACGAAATTTGGGGAGTCGTAGATGAGGAGAGAGTTGGGGTTTTGGTGAAGAAGAGGTTTCTGCTTGATATTAGCGTTTGCCCAAACGCCATCGGTGCTATATCTCTTTAGCTGTGAAGTAGAAGCTGAAAGCAAAACTGCATAATGCTTTCGTTTCTTAGTCGGCCTCTGTCGTCCAGAATCTCGGTAGGGTTTAAGTTTAGTTTTAGTTGTCTCATCTTGTCCCAATTGCTGAAGAACTGAAATATCTGCTGTCTGTTGGGCAGGTGGATTGGGCTGGTTATTAGCTTCGTTCTCTAGTAAATGGACTAGGAATCTATCTTGGGTCCACTTTACTTTTTGGCAAAACTATCATAAAAGTTATATATAATAATACTATATTACAACACTCATTAAAATATGATAAAATTTGCTTAAATAGAAATCTAGGTAGATGGTTTTTTGACACATAATAAAATTTCTAAATTTTTTTTTATAATGACGTGTAAGAAATTTTTTAATTTTAAAATATTTATAAATTATATATTTAAAAATTATTTAATTATTCATAATTTTCAATTTAAGTAGAGGACTACTTCAGTTATCTTTAAATTTTTAGTAATAAAATATAATTTAAATATATTATATTTTTAAAATGCATTTCTAAATAATTTAAATATATATATATTTTTCAATTTAAAATTTCAAATATAATGATATATTATCTTTTAAAATATGTTTCCCAAAAATATATTTTCAAATCTAAAAATTTAAAATTTAGTGATATTATAAAATAGATTTTTTTAATAATTTAAATATATTTAATTTTAAATTTGAAATTTTAAAATACAATTTTTATTTTTAGAGATTTTATAATATTTTTTATTATTTAATTATTCTTAAATTTAAAAATATAAAATATCACATACATTAGAAGATAATTTATTCTTTAACTATACTTTCAATGTTAATTCTATTTCTCTATTTTTTTAACTTTTATATTTGCAAAGAAATGGTTTTTTAACCTGTGAGATGCACATTTTTTTAATTATAATTTTATAACTTTTTTATATACATGAGATGCACAAAATTTTTTTTTTATATTTTTATAATCTATGCATTTATATGTTAAAAAGTTAAAATCAATACTTTTTTTATTTTTAAAATTTTTATAAAACCTTTGAATATTTTGCTTTGTTTTAGAGTGTATGTATAGATCTTACAAAAATTTTTGAACAATTTATGAACGTTGGAGTGAACGAAGAAATTTGGTTTAGCGTAATAATGATTTTTTTGAAGTATTTTGATAATTGAATATAAACATATTAATTTAATTATTTAGGCATTGTTTGTTTTTTTTTATTTATTAAAAAAATTGTATAGATTTACTTTTAATTGTTGATTTTATTTTATTTTATTTTTTTTTAATTTATGAATAAAAACAAATAACTAAAATGTAATAGTAAATCTAAAATAATTGTTTTATAATGCATAACTAATTTATGATCAGGTAATGGCTCTTTCTCTTGTAAATGGACTAGGAAAAAGCGGCTTGAGTCCACTTTCCTCTTTTGCGAAAATATCACAAATTTATCTTATATACCAACGAAAAAATTATACAAATCCTATACTTAAAATTTTAGTAATATAAATATGAACAGTACATTACCAAAACCCCAGCCATGTTTTACTCTCTTTTTTTTTCCCTATTTTTTGGTCAAATTTTTAAAATAGTTTCTAAATTTTTTTATAATTCTTTTAAATGGGACCCACGTTACACCATTTTCTCTTTTTTAATTTTTTTAAGATTTTAAATTTATTTTTTATGAGATACATTTGATATTTAAGATGTGCCGCATGTCTTTTTATTATTTTCTATTTTTTATATTTAATAAAATTTTCTTAGATTTAAAATTTTTTATCTCACTAATACAGATAATATGTCATGTGTCAAAGTTATTTTTTTTTTTTAATCTTATTTTTTTTATTAACTTTTTTTTAACATTTATATATATTTTTATAATATTTTACTTCGAGATTGGTTTAATTTTAAAGTAAAACAAATTCGAATCGGAAGTATCTTTAGAGTGTTTTGTCTTAAACTATTTCAAGTTATATATAAAATTTTATGTTTTATTATTTGTTTAATTACGTATATGTATTATATTAATAATTTTTTTATATTTTAATTTAATAAATTAATATTTTAAACTTAATATAAAGTATCAATGTGACACCTTGTATGAGTTTTTTTTCCTCATTTCAAAATTTTTTCTTTTTAACCTTTTTTATATTTTTATTGGATGAATTTATAAAAAAATAAGATTAATTAAAGTATCCACATGTCATTCTAGATGTTTTTTAATCATTTGTAATTTTTTGGTTTATTTAAGTAGATTAATTTTGTAAGAAAAGCACGATGAATAAAGATGGTAAAATAAAAATTTTAAACCATGACAATGTACGGATATTTTTTCTTTTAGTATCTATAACATTAATTAAAAGTAAACTCCCACCAAACTTACATTAATACTTTTTTTATTATTTCATGATTCGTTGACATTTGGCATTTTTTTGTCATCCTTATAAAAATTAAAAAATCCATCTTTATATCTATTTAATTACAGTGTATACATTGTTATAATATCCCTCCCATTATAAATAACAAAAATTACTATTTTTTTACTTCTGTCATAATTATGAAAATATTCCTTTTACCATAATGGTCCAAAATTATTATAATAATCTTCATATCATAATTACGAAAAATCATTCATATTATAATTAGCCAAAATTATTATAATCTTCTTGTCATAATTATAAAAATACATTTTGAAGTGTTTCTTATTTACATATTAAAATTTAATATTCATACAATAATATAAAACTAATTCCCTTATAAATGATTATAATACCTTTTTAATTATTTGAAAATTGAATTCCTTTAGAAAATTGAATTTTAAGTGTTCAAATTGATTGTAATGCCCCTCATTTTATAATCAACTAAAATTACTACAATACCACTCTTATCATAATTATTGAAATACCTCACCTACCATAATTGACTAAAGTTACTATAATATCCCTCCAATTATGATTAAAAAATACCTTCATACTATCATTCTTCAAAATTATTATAATACCCCTTGTACTATATTAAAATTATTGATTTTTTCTCAAAAAAATTAAGTTGAATAGGTGATAATATTACTCTGACTTTGATTTTATACGTAAATAGGTTTGAATTTGATAATTAATCAATATTAAAGGTAAATGGCTTTGAATTTGATAATTAATCAATATTAGTAACAAGTAAGTATTGTATGTATAGGTTGGATTATAATGTATGTATTATTGAGTTTGGATTTAATGTATACAATTTTTTTAAAGTACTCTTTCTTATTTTATATAAATATATAAAAGTCAAAACTTTTGACGAAAATGGTAGTTATCATATGTGTAAAGTCTATGTTTTTAACAAATGGATAACTTTAAATAATTATCATGTATCCACTACTTACTATGTTTAATTTGATTTAATTTTGACCAAATAAATTGTATTTATATTAAATAACTATTAAATATAAATGTTATTAATTTGGTTAGAATCAAATCAAATTAATTCAAATTAAATACATTAATACATGAAATTATTCAAAACTATCTACATGTCAAAAAATTATACTATCCACATGGGATAATTATCTTTTTTGCCAAAGATTTTTCCTTTTATATATTTATATAAGATTAAAAATAAATGTGATTAATTTAATCAAAATAAAATTAATTAAAAGAGATTTAATGTATTAAAGTAAATATAATTAATTTGGTTAAAATCAAATCAATTAAGAGTTAAAATTAATTGATAGAGAAATTAAGTTATTTAATATAAATACAATTAATTTGATCAAAACTAAATTAAATTAAATCAAATTGAAGACATTAAATAATGGATACATGGCAATTATTCAAGTCGATCCACATGTAAAAAATTATACTATTCACATAGGGTAATTGTCTTTTTTGCAAAAATAAATGTGATTAATTTAAATAAAATCAAATTAAATCTTATATAAATCTATCAAAGCTAAAACTTTTGACAAAAAAAGTAATTACACATGTGGATAGTCTAAGTTTTTACATGCGGATAGGCTTGACTAATTATCATATATCCATCACTTAATGTTTTCAATTTGAGTTAATGTCATTTGATTCGTATCAAATTAATTGCATTTATACTTAATAGCTTAAATTTCACTCTCAATTAATTTTAATTTTTAATTAATTTGATTATAATTAAATTAATTATATTTACTTTTAATAGATTAAATCTCTCTCTATTAATTTTAATCCTTAATTTAATTTGATTTTTCTTAAATTAGTCTCATTTTGTTAATAACTTATATCTCAATTAATTTTATTTATTATTTTTTGTTCGTTTTTCAACACTATAAATATTATCTAATAAGAGTTAATCTATAAAAAAAACTAGTTTTTGACCTGTGCAAAGGATGGGGTTTTTTAATTTATTAAATTATTTTAATTAATTAAGTTTCCAAAAAAATTATCTTTCTTTTAAATTTTAAATTTATATGTTGTAATTATTTAAATTTAAAGTTAAAGTATAAAACATTCTTTAAATATAATTGTACTTAAAAAATTGGAAAGCATGTTTTATTTTATTTTTCCAATAATTTATAGATTGTGTTTAGAAACTTAAATTTTAAAGAAGATATTTGAATTTTAAAATTAATATAAAATGTATGATAAAGCACACATAAATATAAACATTATTTTATAATTATTTTTCAAATTTAAAGAATTTTTGGATGTCTATTTAATAGTGAGTGTTGAATATCTATGCGTATTTATGAATTTGAAATTCATTTTTTTATATATTTAAAACTAAATAAATTATCATATTTTGTTTTATTAATTTGTGCATACCATGTAT